GCCAAATCACACCAGAGTGATAGTTTATATCAGCAGCCTTCGGAGTACAGTAAGAAATACTGCAGCAGTGATACCAGAACAAGCTCGCTTAAGAACAGATCTTTGACTGCAGCCATGTGGAAAATTGGATCGTGGAACTGCTGAAACTGCAAGATGGATCACAAACATTTTCTCACATGGCAGAAATCCAGCCGATAGTGTGACTGTCAGATTGTTGATAACTGTGGAAGTCAAATAGAGGCCCCATCAAAACTGCTCACGTCTTCAGAAACACGCTGTCCAATGTGTGTGTGAGCATGAGCACAGAGATGAGGATTCTGAAACAAAACATGGCTGACGACTTTAAGAATCTAAATTGATTTTTATGTCCCAGAGCGAGAGCTGTGCAGAGACAGGAGATTAATCAGGTGTGTGTGTGTCGATGTGTGCCAGAGGAGAGTTAAACCACCTCGTCTCTGATCAGATGAAGCTGTGTGAGAGGTGAAATCAGCTGTCGACCCGTCCGTCAAAATACACCAAGAACAGACATCATAGACCCTCCACAGCCAATCAGGATGCGGCAGCAGGAATTTTGTCATTAATCTCACAGTGTGTCATTAATCATCCATCTTGGGTCGGTTACTGTAGACGCCATTTTTCAGTTTTCACCAGACGTTCAGGTGTCCAGTCCAGTTTGGTCTGAAAGTAGCTCAGTTTTAAGTCGTCCTTTTGTGTGTTTATGGTGATAAAAGTAGAGAATAAATATGAAAGTATCTGTAAATGTCACAGTTTTGGAAAGGAGATATTTTTGGAGCAGTGAAAGGCAAAAGATGACAGTGAAGAGTTGTGAAATGTGGAACTGGTGATTAAAGCCGTTTTCAGACTTCCTGGATAATCTGACATTCTCTTTGTGTTGGTGAGACGGACTGGAGAGAGAGAGAGAGAGAGAGAGAGAGAGAGAGAGAGAGAGAAAAGGGAAATGGAAATGTAATTCATATTTAAAAGGATCCAAATAACAAAGTTAAAGTGCTGTAAGAGATTTGTGCTCTGATTTCTTAAGAGGGGGAAATTAAACTTGAGCCATGTACAGGAGTCGAGAGATTAATGGTGATGCTGAGTGTGTTTGAGTTTTTGCAGGTGTGTGTTTTTGAGCCGTGCACATGAGACAACTAAAATACTCAATAACTATGGACAATTGTGACTTCTCTGTCCAGACTCGACTTGTACAGTCTGAGCTCTGGGATCATGCTCGACTCGTACAGTCTGAGCTCTGGGATCGTGCTCTCGAGTTCTTCAGCAGAAATGTGTCTGACATTAAACAGGAAAAGTTTAATCACATAAACCTGTTTAACCGTCACCATAAACATCCCTGTTGGTTATCTTTCTCCGCTTGAAGGCCTCTGTGTGAGAAACTCTGTGGCCACAAACAACAGGGATATCTGGGGTAAGTGTGCGATCAGCTGACGCCAGCGCTCTCCCAGTCAGTCTAAATCTGTCCCAGTATCTGAGCTGTGGATCTGCAGACTCATTATCACAGCATGGCTGACCAACGGCCCATTTCCATGAGAACCAGTCCACTACGTCTGTCTGGGATGTTGTGGAAAGTTTCCTGTCTGTGGGAACGGAAAGAAATCCAGTGCTGATGATGATGAATGGTGTTTAGAAAGACGTGCATACTGACTGCATGCTCACTCATGTCCTGAGGGGGTTTGTGAGAGCTGCACGGACATCAAAAGGTCTTTCTGTGATGAGACGAGATGGAGACTGACCCAATAACGTCCATCACATCTCCTCTCCTGTTTTCAACTAAGATGTTTTCTAGATGCAGTTTTAAAACAGGAAATTTGCCAAACTCAAACGTAAACAGAGTATCTTTGTTAAATAATCTTTAAATATTTATTTCTGTCATCACCGTGCGGTTAAACTTTTTGCATCCCGATGATGTCATCAACACCTGGATGTCTAGCTCTACTCAGACTCATTTGAAAACGTTAAAGTGGAAGCACGATCATGTCTTTGAAAATCAATTCTCTTCATACTCATTGAAAGCCAAAAGGGGAATTGAACTTTACATTCGATTAAAAGGCTCTGTCCCTGCAGGCCTGCGTTTGGGGGGCTGTAGTGATGGATTTTTCTGGGACGCCGAGTCATTTCATCCAGTTTGAGTCATGAACAACACGCACTAAAAATAGCTTTCCTTTTTTCTTTTTTTTATTGAGCTGGAAATAAACACACTCTGTCAGAACACTGTATGCTTAAGATAAGAGTATGAAAATATTTCTGTGGGAAGTTTTTTTTTTTATGTCTCTTTCTCTGAACTTTCTGTTTGTGTTATTTATAAAGGGCTCTTTTCTGTCTATGTCAGCCGGTCTGTAGTTTCTATCCTTACATCAATTATATTTTTCTCTCTCTCTCTTCCTCTCCACTGAACGCAGACAACAACTGCCAATAAAATAATCCCTTTTAAGTTTTTCCAACAATTGCTGAAAAGTGAAGTCGATCCAGAAGTCCCTTAAACGTGTATTCTCCCTAGTGGCCAGCAGGGGTTACTGCAGGGGTTCTAAAAATTAAGTCTATGATAAAATATCTCTACTTCTCACTCGATTATTTACCTCACTAAATGTTTGCTTCATGAGTTTTTGGTCTCAGTGACCACTTGTAGGTCTTCTCTAGTTATGAATGGCTCAGAATCTGACACACTGGTATCTACTTCATAAAGTCACTCATTTGCATAATTTTTAAATCTATAAAGTCTTCTCATTGTTCCAAACATTTTGCTCCATATTCCCTGTCAGCTGGAGGTCTGCAGATGTTTCCTGCCGACGTTTCTTTCATGATCGGAGGGGAAGACCTCTTTAAACAGGCACACCTGCTGTTGCCACGGTGATTTTGGACATTGTTGGCCAGTTTGTGCAGCTAAAATGCAGAAGTCGAGGAATCGCTAAAGTGTGATTGGATGTCTTGTTCATTTTTTGGAGATTTGTGTTATCATAAAAGATTTGAATAATAATGTGAAGAATAAACATCGTCATCACTGTCATACATCATGGTATGCTGTTGGTCCAATCGGCTCCTTCCATTCCCACACGACCACGGTGACCTTCCGGAATGCAGCGGAATGTCGTTTCCCGTGGAAATGGAACGCTGAGAAGATTCCATCTTGTGACCGTGGTTACAGTAGAATCTAAAGATAGACTCAGTGGTTTAATAGTGCTGCAGATGTGATGCAGCTGTGTGTGTGTGTGTGTGTGTGTGTGTGTGTGTGTGTGTGTGTGTGTGTGTGTGTGTGTGTGTGTGTGTGTGTGTTTGTTGTGGTGTGTGATCAACTTCTTTTCTGGAACAGTTCACTCAAAGTTTGAGAAGAGAGAGTCAACGTGACTGGAGGCGGCGATGCATGTCACTACCCAGATGTTCCTGCAGCACCATGCATGCACACACACACACACACACACACACACACACACACACACACACACACACACACGCTCTCTCCAGCCAACATCTGCTTCACTATCTTGTTTCTTGTTAGGAGTCCTGAGATCTGACAGAATAGAAAGTTATCGTGTGTCTTTGTGTGCATGTGTGTGTCTTTGTGTGCATGTGTGTGTGTTCCTTACTCTGATAGTAAGCAGTAGTGATAACAGTGGTTTAATCTCCATGTGGTGTGGAATCACCAGGTCAGCCATAAAAACAGTGGCAGATGCTCTGTGTGTGTGTGTGTGTGTGTGTGTGTGTGTGTGTGTGTGTGTGTGTGTGTGTGTCTCTGTAGGCGTGTGTGTGTGTGTGTCCCTCTGTGTCTTTGTAGGCGTGTGTGTGTGTGTGTGTGCCTCTGTGTCTTTGTAGGCGTGTGTGTGTGTGTCCCTCTGTGTCTTTGTAGGAGTGTGTGTGTGTGTGTGTGTGTCTCTGTGTCTTTGTAGGCGTGTGAGTGTGTGTGTGTGTGTGTGTGTGTGTGTGTTTTCACAGTTGTGTAACAGTCCTGTTTCTCAGCAGACGGTCTTAGTTTTCCGGTTTCTTCCGGTTTGGGGTCCAGTATGCTTCAGCTGTGTGAGTCATCAGAGTCAAAACTTTGATTTTAGCATCAATATTCAGTGAAGCAACATGCCACGACGAGCCTTTTTATTGCAACAATAAAAAAAGAGGACATTTTAGTTCATTCCATGAAGTATTTCTGATCATTCATCTTTACACTTTCTCACTTATCTCGCGTTGGAAAGTGTTCTGTTGTTGGGTGAGTTTGTCCCTAAATAAAAGGACATAAATATGATATTACTGTCTTTTATTTAAACATAGTAAGACGGGGTACAGATCATTATTCGTGTTGTAGAGCACTTCATGACTCTGCTGCAGGAGGAGACAAAGAGACTTTAAAAATATATTCAAAAACATGATGATGGGTTAAATCTTATCTGTGTGGTTCAGAGAGTTTTTCTGTTTGTTGAGGAGAAAAAGGCGTTTGTGGAGTTGGATGTATTTGCATATCTGTGCTGACGGGCTGTGTGGAGAATGAGCTCTCTGATGAGCTGCGGGGATTATTCATACGCCCTATATACACATGTGAGAGTGTGAGTTCGTATTGTAAATGCGCACTAGGCATAACATGCAATTTTTTTGTGCAGGTGCCGTGTGTGTGTGTGTGTGTTTGTGTGCGTGTGTGTGTGTGTGTGTGTGTGTGACTTTCTGCTGATTTCAGCATTGTTACATAACTGCTGTGATGTCACAGAGCTGAGCTCCTTGGCCTGCTTTCATGGCCGAGGTTGTGTTGTTTTAATCCCACAAAGTCAAGAAAACCCCGCTCATAAAGTGACCTTCAACACACACACACACACACACACACACACACACACACACACACACACAAAAGACTTGCTGATTTATGTGTGTGTGTGTGTGTGTGTGTGTGTGTGTGTGTGTGTGTGTGTGTGTGTGTGTGTGTGTGTGTGTGTGTGTGTCAATACTTTATGATTTACTGAAATAAGAGTAAACTTTAAACGATCCCTCCGTCTGTGTCTCTCTCTCTGTAGGACTCGGAACCTCTCGGGGGGGTCTCCACGACCTCGACACACGAAGAAGATCAACTTTAAAAACATGAAACAGTGCGACATGAGGGGCAGCAGGTGAGACACACAAACATTGTTATTTTTCTGTTGGCTGTCACATCAGGGATCTATATCATAGATAATTCAAACTGTCATTTCAAATATCTTGAGTCCAATCCTATAACCAGCGTCCTTTTGTTCTGGACCTGCAGGTTTAACCTTACAGTAATGTATCTCATGTTTTAATCCTATCTTTAAGTACATATGGAAGCGTAAAGTAGCACACGTCACATGATCCCCTTCTAAGTCCACACAGGTGATGTAGCTGTGGGTCAGCATGTTTATCCCTGCTGTACCCACAGGCTCAGTTACAGAACAACACCTAAGCACAGGAAGGTCAGTGCAGGGGGCGTGAGATGTTGTTGAGGAAGTTTCCTCAGGCGGCCGTCATCTGCGTTTGTGTCTCTGAAGGTAGAAAAGGATGTGGGCAAGAATAGAGGGTGCTTGAATTATTGTTAGCAGCTATTCAGTCTTTATATAACCGTACTGAGGGACACATTGTCTGCAATAAATGAAGCCACTGATGACCAGCTACAGTGGAAGTATTCTGCACTGTAGTTTGTATAAAACATGGACGTAGTCTCAGTGACGTCACCCGTTGGTTTCTGAAGAATGGTGGTCGCCATATTAGTAATTCTATCTCCAACAGACAAAGAGGGGGAGCTGAGGCGGGCCTGAAACTACATACTCATACTACAACACGCCCACCTTGTCAGTCAATTCAACCCCCGCCCCTAATTATGCTAATTTATGGATAACTCTAACCAAACCAAAATGGATGCGTTGTATAAAAAAATGTAACCCCTACAGTTTTAGCAAATGAGCGAAATAGACTTTTTTGAACCAGGTAGTAAAAACAGAGTCGCTGCGTGTCAACAGGTAAGGCAGGCAACTGAGGGCTCACAAACTTAAACCAAAGCGACGGCCCAAAGATGTGCAAATTTTGCAGTGACAGTAGGAGACCTCCCTAAGGGGACCCCCATCTGACAGCATTCACTCTGGCTGCCCTGCTAATCTTCACATGCATGATTGCTGTGAAAACTAAAGTTTGTCAATGAAAGACACCAAAGAAAAATGAGGAATTAGCCGTCTATAGGAGAGAAAAAAAAAATGATGGTGATTAACACTTAACGGTTTGAGGGCCCCCCTATTGATTTTTTCCTCGGGCCCCGACTTGCTCTACAATCACCACTGAGTAAACATGTTTATTCCTGCTGTAAAAATTGACATTTTAACTTCACACCTAAGGGCAATTCCTTGGCTTTAAGAGGAACTGTTTGCACTTCAGCACTTAACCATCATTTTACAAATCCAGAGTTTTCTGCTTCTTCTGAACCCTTCAAACTAAAAGAAATCACCATCGAATTTCCTAACCAGACATGCAAACTAAATGTGTTCTATTTATATTCCTGTAGTAAAAAAGCTGGTTTGTACATTTCTATTATTAGATTCTTTGTTACAGCTGAGTCTGAGTGTCTCACCTTTACACACTCAGCTGTCATGCTGCTGGTTTGTGTCTCGTCGAGCCTGGACATCGTCATTCTGTTCCCCCCCTCTTCCTCTATTGTTTTCTATTCTGGTCCCTCTGTGCGGGGAGTATAAATCAGAGCTCTGGGTCAAAGGAACACGACGCGTCTCATCAGATAAAAATAGACTCTGAGCTGATTGTTTTAGAAACAGATTCCGGCTAAGAGCAGCAGAGTTGTTGTTTGTGTTTCAGCCAAGTCCTCCATGTCATCACGGAGAAGAGACGGCAGCTTACAAAGAAAAGTAAATCTGCCGCCGCGCGCTCATACCCTGCTCGGGCTCATGGGAGATTTAAAAAAAAAAGTGTGAATCATAAAGGGAGTAAAAGCGCTCACAGGGAGACTCTCATCTTAGCTTTCACTCTCGTGGCTGAAGCAGCTCTTGAGGAAAAAATGTTCAAATTCAGTGTAAATTCAGATCAATATAAATCCCCTTTAGATGAAAAGTTTAAAGAAAGCCTCCTTCCAATATCAAGACTGTAATGTTAGATTGTTTTCCCTGCTCCTCTTCCTTTTTTCTCTCCTAGTTTTCTTCTGTACTACTTCTCTCCTCCTCATTATCAATCTCCTTTTCTCCTTCTTCCCTCTCTATTTATTCCTCTTCTCCTCCCCCCTCCTTTTTAATTCCATTTCTCCCTTTCCCATTTTCCTCTTCTCCTTTTCCATTGCCTTCATTTCCTCCTCCTCTTCCTTTTTCTGCCTCCTCCTTTTCTCTTCTACTTTTTCCTTTTTTTCTTTTCCTCTCTCCTCAGTCTCCTCCTTGTCGTCCTTTTTATCACCTCCTCCTCTTCTCCATCTCAATGTTCTTCCCGTCTTTGTTATTTATATTTTCTTTCCTATCCTCCTTCTCCTCCCCGTCCTTGTCCTCCATATTTTCCTCATACTCCCCCTCTTCATCTTCTTCTTCACTTTGTATTTATTAGATTAAACTTTGCTCCTGATGCTCAATCACAGATATTTGCAGTGTTGAAAAATGCTTTAAATATGCAGGCCAGAAATTGTGTCAACTATTATTAAGATATTGTTAAAAAAAAAGAAAAAAAAAAAGATTCATAAAATCTAGAGATGCCGATTATTGAAATAATTTAGCCGATTCCGTTGTTTATTTCATGACTTCTTCTGGTGTAAGAGTGCCACAACGCCGACATTTTCTCTCATGTTTGTAAACGAAAACAAGTCAGAGTTTGTCCAAAAGTCTGGTGACTTATTCTGCCCAATAAAAATCCTCTTCTCTGGATCAGTAGTGAGATGTTCTAGTGTTCAGAATTAAATTGATTTGGCACATCACATCGGCTGCTGACATCGGTTCACACATTATTTACCGATGTCTGCAAACAGGGCCGACATCAGTACCGGTGTTGAACCGATGCATCAGTGCATCCCTAATAACAACATACAAAGGAGCTGGAGCACATACAGTATGTACCTGTTGATGGTGTGTGTCTGGAGACCAACTTGATGAAAGCAGCATGTGACTGTCCCTGAAGGCAACAAATGAAGGGATCAGAAAGCAGAACAGTCCAGGGTTAAAAACAACACGGCTCGGGCTCATATCCTGTGTAACAGTGAACCTTCCCTACATCAGTGTCAGTTTATTACATGAAGTCTTCGGTCACAGTTACGTCTATGGGGACTTGTTGAACTCTCTCAACCTTTTGGTTTTCTGCATTGACACAGTTTATTTGGCATATAAGGTCCTCCCTTGTTTTCCATTAGTCATTCTTTTTGTAGCTCAGGGTCGGGGGGGGGGGGGGGGGGGCAGCTCCCTGGAGGATTAGTCTGGTGGTGAGGGGACAGACAGTCACGTTTGCAGCCGGTCTGTTGTGATGCTGCTGCTGATGTTTCCACTGAACTCCCCGCTGACTTCCTGCTCTCCACTTTCCCATGCATCATAAAAAAACAAGCTGTGTGTGTGTGTGTGAGTGCGTTTCAGTCGTACACACAGCCTCACGACCACATTAAATCTGAACTCATCACAGGACAGGATGAGGCGGAGCAGCAGGGGCAAGAAGATAAAAATCAGTTCAGACTGATATTGAAGTAGACATTTATTCAGCGGGCAGCGAGCGGAGAACTGGATGATCATATCGCAGTGGAAGGAAAGTCCCAACTTCTGACCCACAGAAGTCTCCTTTCCTTCAAAAACCTTGAGTCAGGTATCAAACTCAACATCCCCCGTCATGGATAGGTTGAAGTCCTGCACCTTGACTGACTGTAATAGTCATGCAGAGGTGAGCGGCTCTGAGTAACATATCTCTAGATTTCCTGAAAATGATAAAAATGGACCTTCAAATCAAACTTTTCTACTCCTGCTGGCTCAAACGGCCCGACCTCTGCAATGAGAGACTTTCTTTTTAAATCCTGTCCCCTGACCTCCCCCTTATAAAAAAAAATAAGGAACATGGTATCAAACTGATCTGTGTGGAAGGTGTTAGGGTGCTGCCAAGTCTGCAGGATCACCATGTGGGCAAACTACCAATCCCTGACGTTTAGTGGAGTTTAGCCCACGACACCGAGCAGACTCTGCAGATCCATATCCGCCCCCCCTTCTTCACCTGAACCCACACGCTCGGCAGCTCCAGGTTAGGAAATCCATCCAGCTTTGCTCTTTCACAGCTCGTGTTGTATTTGATTTATTCTTAAACCCAGTTATGCAACTATCTGGTAGATTTCCTACTCTCTCTCTCTCTCCTCCAGTTTCCTGATGAGCTGCAGAGCTGGATGAAGTCTTTTCAATTTGGCTGAATTTCTGATTAAAAGCTTGTGTCGGTGGCTCTCTGGCCGTCTCAGTGAGGAGTGACCTTTTTGTGGTGGTTGAGCTCAGCCACAACAACAAGGTCAATGATTCTGTGATTCCTATTGGCAGCTTAAGATGGTAAATCTTGATGAAAACACTGTGTTACTCAGGGATGTTTGTGTTTGTGTTTTCACACACTGTGAATCATCCTCCAGTCTCTTTGCTTCCTCAGCCAAACATAATGACTGTAAACATTTTCCTCCCAGACGAGAAGCAGGCGAGCGACGTGCAGTCTCTGCTCCACAGGGCTTTAAACTCCAGAGGCTCCACAATAACACACACACACACACACACACACACACACACACACACTCTCTCTCTCGCTCTCTAATGCTGTGTCATTGTGAAGGTGCTGCTGGTCATTAAAAAGTGTCAAGTGTGTTTGCATGTTTTCCAAAACAAACACAAAAGGAATGATAATGATCATGTTAAAAATGTGCCAGTTTGAGAATTTGACACGACTTTAATTGTTACGTTGCTAAATGTTGGAGCCCAGCACTTCCATCCACCCATTATCAGCGGAGCTGGATCTGTGATTGGTCGAGAGGCAGGGTAACACTCTGGACTGTTCTCCAGTCAATCACAGGGCTGAAAGATCAGAGACAGACAACCACAAATACATCGGTTAACTTTTGATATTTAATGTACAACAACATTACGCAAATAAAGGATTAAAAACATCCAACACACAGGATAAGTCTGCAGGGGGCGCTAAACGCTATTCAGATTCAAATTCAGATTTTTTTTTATTGTCCCACAAGGGGAAATTTGCGTTGCAACAGGAGCACACAGAAGACAAGAAACACAAGGACAACATCACCATAAAACATCAACCAAAACTAATTAAAAAAATCAGACAACACAGCAAAATATTAAACCAAATAAAATCAGTCAAGAGCTCAGAATGGAAATTCAAGTTATTAAAGTGCAAAGTGGAGGTGTGCAAATGTGCAATTCAAGTGCAAAAAGAGCAACAAATACCTAACTGTTGCACTTGGTAAAAATGAGACCTGGAGTCTTTTAGTCTTCCTCACAGGAGCTCTAAAACGACGACCTGAGGGTCAAAGGTCAAACTCCCTGCGGAGTGGTATGGTTCCTTGATATGAATTTCACAAGACGGCTTCAAGCCTCTAAGGAAGCCGGTGAAACCTCTCACATAGACTCTCTTCTCCAAGCACTGAAGAGCAGCCCTCACCTGGCAGCCCTGCAGCGTTCTGCCTCCCTGAAAGGCTTCCAGAGAGCTGGCCAATCAGAAGAAAGTGGGGCATGTGAGGAGGCGGGGCCTTAAATCAACAGTTTCAGGCAGATGCTGAAATAAGTTTCTTTTTACTGACGCCAGTATCAGATACATAAGGATTTTATTTGAGCTGCAGATCTTGCAAAGCTGCTCTTGAGGTTTCACAGACTGACAACATGAAAGGTGAAAATGAGAATATTATGGGATCTTTAAGTGTCTCCAAAGAAGTTGTATAACTCAAAATGTCTTCTGGCTGCAGCTTCAGGGTGGAAACATTAAAACAAGGACATTGTTTTTGTTCACCAGCTTTCTTGTAATTTTCTTCAACATTAAGAGTAATAGTTTCTAAGGAATGAACTCAGCCTGTTCATTAAATCACTAACAACTGCTGGTGGAAAAAAGCCAACTGCATTTATGAAATTAACTGTACAATCAGGCGTTTTGCTGTATCTTCTTAACTTTACACTGTGACATTAGTTTAGCTTCCTTTTATTATCGATCCATCGTTCCAGCCCTTCTGATATGAAGACAGCAGATGATGTGTTGCCTTGTTTGTATTCCTGTTTACATTTCAACATAATCACATTGAACAGGACAGATGTTGCAGCTGTTTAACGACAATATGTTTGTTGTTTCAGGATCGTGCTGATCTGTGCTAAGAGATCTCTGTGTGCTGCATTCTCTGTCCTGCCCTACGGTGAAAGCTTCTACCTCAGGTATATCCCACACACACACACACACACACACACACACACACACACACACACACGCATATATTTCCTGGGAAATGCATAACCACCAACACCTCTGCGTCAGGCAGGGTGAAAGAGTAGGAGGAGAGTTTAGGAGGCGAGATGGAGGAGGAGATGTGATTTCTTAGAAGATGACAGAAAAGGATGGAAGGACACGAGGAGTGAGGATCCTCCTCTTCACTGCAGCTTCTTCCCTAGAGCTGTGAGACTTCTCAAAACCGCCATCAACATATACAAACCCCCGCCCACCCCCATCCCCCACCCCCCCCCTACAACACACTTCACTCTCCAATGATTAGGAGGGAGACAGTTCAGGACCTCAGAGCTCCCTGACTTGACCTGAGAACTCTCTGGCTGTTGATATGCAGACGAATGCAAAATCAGAGTGAGATCACACTTTCCCTTTGCCTATCACACACAGCCAGTGTGCACGCTCATCACACCATACTTGCATTTTGTAGGAAGTATCAGACAGTTCCAAAGAAATCATCACCGGCTTTGTACACAAGAGTATTATAAATACACAATAATGTGCTCTCTACGCACACACTCACATATACACAAACAAACACTACACAGTATGAACACACACACACACACACATTCCCACATATTTAGCAGCATGACTAACACGGGGTCCTCCTGCAGAGGAAGTGAGCTCAGATCACGCTTTATCTCTCAGCTGAAGTCGTGTTCCCAAATTCTGACGCATCAGTTGTGTTCAGCACAACATGTGACTGCCGTGGGACGTGACCTTTGACCTTTCACTCGCAGGACTGTCTCTGAACACGTCCCACCCTGTCAGTCTGAAATATTGCAGACAGGAAGACAGCGAGAGGATAACAACACTGAGAAAACCTGAGTATGTGTCAGCCTACTGTACGCACTGATTGCAAACTGGAATACTCAAAAAGATTGTAAAAACCTTTAGTTGTATAACTTTTTGTTTTAACTATTAGTTGGCTTCGTTGTGATTGACGATGTGCTTCCATGCCAACCTCTCAATTTAGGATGAGCACCCATATTATTCTCAAATGATTGTCACTTTTGGATCCCAGAAAATGTCAACGCTGAAATGCCAACCTCACACACCAATGAATGACGTCAATGTGGCTGAATTTAATATATTCAGGAAATGGCCCTGCCACCCCCTGCAACGTTTCTGAAACTGATTTTTAATACGGATGTAAACAAACAAAACCGGTGAATTATGACCAAATCAAACTTTTTTTTTGTATTTCTGCATGTAAACCTGTTAACCATTAAACTCTCTCTCTCTCCAGTGACCCCACATTAAACCACCCCAGGAGGAGGCACTCGTCTGGAAACATCTCCACCACCCTGGAGATGCTGCCGGGGCTGGAGGGCTTCCACCTGGACACCTATGGCAGGGTAGAAAAAACACTTTTTGTATTCATCTCACCAGGTGGACGTTGCTTTGCTTCCTGTTTTTTAGATACTTAAGTCTCTCTCTCTCTCTCTCTCTCTCTCTCTCTCTCTCTCTCTCTCTCTCTGTTTCAGTCGGTGTCGTACGCCCAGTTCCTGTACCCTACAAACGCCCTGGTGAGGCAGAAGCCAGCGTCGGCCAGCGACCTGACGCTGCAGATTCCTCAGTCCAGGAGCACACACAGCATGCCGGGCCGGGGCTACCCACCCAGCAGACTGAACAGCACTGTTGGGCTGGACCTCGGTACACACACACACACACACACACACACACACACACACACACACACACACACACACACACACACACACACACACACACACACACACACACACACACACACACACACAGGTTGTATTCAAAGGACTTGTGCAGCTGTCATTAGCACTGAGAGTTGTGTGTCCTTGCATTTTCGGGAAGAGGAGCATGAGACAGGAAGTAGATATGGCTGTAAAGAAAGAGGAAGAAAAAAGAAACACTAGGATGGAGGGATGAAGTTAGAGGAGTTATATAAGGAGATGGAAAGACGGTGTGAAAGAGTTGTTGCAGCTGGAGTGTCGCTCTCTTTATATTTTAAACACGTGTGTATGTATAAACACTCTGTGTCTCCTGCTTTCTATAAACACACACACACCCACACTGACACAGCCCTGTATTAGCCTCTAAACCTCTCTTTCTAATCCAGAACCTGTCATTAACACAACACAGCTGTGCATGCATACGTGTGTGTGTGTGTGTGTGTGTGTGTGTGTGTGTGTGTGTGTGTGTGTGTGTGAAAGAGTTACAAAACATCTGAGACTGTGCACGTGGTCATGAGTGTGCACCCTGATAGCAGGTTTATATTTTTAGTCTCCCTGTGACGTATATCTTCAGTGTTTCAGGCTCGGCTCTCAAAACAGCCGAACACTGCGCACGTCGTCTGTTAGTTTGAGAACTATTTCATATTTTGTGTGTGTGTGCGTGTGTGCTAACGCGTGTGTTTTGTTCAAGGTCTGGAGGATGTGACGGACTACGACCCTCACCTCCTCAGCGACCCCCAGTGGCCTTGCGGGAAACACAAGCGGGTGCTGATCTTCGCCTCCTACATGGTAATACACGCACTGGAGATTTGTGTTATTATTCATTTATGTCGCGTCTGTGCTGCATTTTTATTCTGCTGTCAGAAAGCAGAAACTTTAAACAAAGCATGAAGAAACAGGTGCACGCAGAGGACGTCTTCAGATCAGACACAGCTCATCTTCAGAGATATTGTTGCAGCCATTACAGCCTTTCAGACTGTTGCTGAGTGAAGTCGTTTTGGACCTATTAGCCATTTTGCATCGATAATGTTTAAAAAAAAAAAAATAGCATCTGAGTTAAAAGACAAAACAGAATCAACCTTTAAGGAACCGGAGTAAAGGAGAAGAAAGGAAATCTGGTGGAGAAAAGAGCAGAGAGGAAAAGGACGAGACAAGAGAATTAAAGAGAGGAAGGATTATAGAGCTCTGAGAAGAAAGAAATCACTACTGACGGAAGAAGAACACACACACACACACACACACACACACACACACACACAGGTCCCTGACATCAACACAATTATTCTATAGGAAGCAGCTTAGTTTGATCCCTCCTCTGAGATGAGTTAGAGCTAAAGAGACACACACACACACACACACACACACACACACACACACACAAAGGCTCACTGTGGGGTCGGAGACATAGCAGCCCACCTCAGCAGTAATCTTCTCTGCTGGATTAAACCCTGCTGATAAAGTCTGTTTGTTACATTACGTGCTGTGATCCACCGCCCACTGTGGAGTCGACTCTCTGACCTAAACTACAGACACACACTCAAATACACACCTGAATGAAATCTCATGATGACCTCTCATACACACATGATGACCTCTCATACACATGATGACCTCTCATACACATGATGACCTCTCATACACACATGACCTCTCATACACATGATGACCTCTCATACACATGATGACCTCTCATACACATGATGACCTCTCATACACACATGACCTCTCATACACATGATGACCTCTCATACACATGATGACCTCTCATACACATGATGACCTCTCATACACATGATGACCTCTCATACACACATGACCTCTCATACACACATGACCTCTCATACACATGATGACCTCTCATACACATGATGACCTCTCACACACATGACCTCTCATACACATGATGACCTCTCATACACATGATGACCTCTCATACACATGATGACCTCTCATACACACATGACCTCTCACACACATGATGACCTCTCATACACATGATGACCTCTCATACACATGATGACCTCTCATACACACATGACCTCTCATACACATGATGACCTCTCATACACATGATGACCTCTCATACACACATGACCTCTCATACACACATGATGACCTCTCATACACATGACGACCTCTCATACACATGATGACCTCTCATACACACATGACCTCTCATACACATGATGACCTCTCATACACATGATGACCTCTCATACACATGATGACCTCTCATACACACATGATGACCTCTCATACACATGATGACCTCTCATACACATGATGACCTCTCATACACATGATGACCTCTCATACACACATGACGACCTCTCATACACACATGACGACCTCTCATACACACATGATGACCTCTCATACACACATGATGACCTCTCATACACATGATGACCTCTCATACACATGATGACCTCTCATACACATGATGACCTCTCATACACATGATGACCTCTCATACACATGATGACCTCTCATACACATGATGACCTCTCATACACACATGATGACCTCTCATACACATGATGACCTCTCATACACATGATGACCTCTCATACACACATGATGACCTCTCATACACATGATGACCTCTCATACACATGATGACCTCTCATACACACATGATGACCTCTCATACACACATGATGACCTCTCATACACATGATGACCTCTCATACACACATGATGACCTCTCATATACACATGATGACCTCTCACACACAGGATGACCTCTCTGATGAAAAGTTGTCATAATGCCTCGCTGTATCTTCTCCTCTCTTCCCAGACGACAGTGATCGAGTACGTCAAACCCTCGGATTTGAAGAAGGACATGAACGAGACGTTTAAAGAGAAGTTTCCTCACATCAAACTCACGCTCAGCAAAATACGCAGGTGAAGTCACTGAATCGAATCTACTTACTACCTTGAAGAGATCGTCAAAACACGAAACACAACTCTCGAGTTGAGATGTATATGCAGTAAAGATGTCTGCACTTGGCTTTCATTTAAACCAGTGGTTCTCAACTGGTGGGTTGGGGCCTAAAAGAGGGTCGTGAAGCTGTTTTCAGTGGGTCCTTGTTTGTGTGCCTGGGGGGAAAAAGTGTAAAAAAAAAAAAAAGGATGTTTCATGTTTTGTACCTTCTGAGGTCCAAACTGCACAAATTCTAATTAAATTAATCTGATTGGCTGAACAACATTTTGGGTAGCGATTTCTCATTAAGGGGTTGGTGGTGGGTCCTGAGGCTGGACCAGTTGAAACCCACTCTGACTGTGTGTGTGTGTGTGTGTGTGTGTGTGTGCGTGTGCGTGTGCTGCAGTCTGAAGCGAGACATGAGAATAGTCGGCGAGGATTGTGGGATGCAGCCCGTCACCATAGCGATGGCGTTCGTCTACTTTGAGAAGTTGGTGCTGCAGGGTCGCCTCAATAAACAGAACAGGTACAGTATTGTTTTGACTTTTTTAAAGTGGTACTAACCGAGCAGATTGCATGTTCACTCTGTGTTTTGAACTCAGACATCATGAGTCAGTTTCCTCTGCTGCTGATTGGTCTCATGATTAATAATCCTCACTGATCTGCTGTGGTTTCATAAAGTAGCACACATTGATTCCATGATGGCTGCCTTTAGTTATTTCCTCTCCTCGTTGACATCCCGCTAACTTTCACCAGTAACTCTGAGGTTAGCTGTGAGCTAGCTTTAGCCTCCCTCACTGAATTTAAATAGATTAAATAACGGCCATTAAACCCCGGCCTCCATCCAGTGAGTATAAGGTACACGTGAATGCTCAGATTATGATACAGATGAAACTGTGATTAATAGCACAGCCCTTTATGGTCTTTATCTTTAAGAAAGGCAGTCTCGGTCGGATATGTCTTGTTATCTGTTAGTGTGGTCAACTACAACACTACATGTACTAACTGAAGTGTAACCTGCGCAGCTTCATTTAACTAAAATCTCAGGTGACTGCACCTGAACTCTGCTGAAGGACGACCTGACTCTCACACTGTTGTTGTTGTTTTACAGGAAGTTGGTGTCAGCTGCCTGCATCCTCCTGGCTGCTAAGATCAGCAGTGACCTCAAGAAACAGGAGGTCAAACACCTCATCGATGTAAGCCACACACACACACACACACACACACACACACACACACACACACACACACACACACACACAGATACACACTTCAGCTCTTCACAGTTTAGCGTTGTCGTTAGAGAAGCCTAATTGTTCCAGTCGGCTAATTTTATCTCACCAAAGATCAGACTTTGTAAATATGTCAGCTGATCAATTCAATTTTGTTTCTTTGTGTTGCACGTTACATAAAATGTAAACTCAATGTCTCAAACCAACAAAATAAAATAAAATGAGTTAAGACACAGGTATAGAATATTTCATGAAACTTCAGCACAGAAATATGAAACATGTTGGAGGGACTGAAGGAGCAGTGTTGTCATTACAAAGTTTGTCCACTAGAGGGCGCTGACGAGTTGGTGTTCTACTGTAAAATATTCCACTCACACTCCATTGATTGTTGAAGATTCTTGAATAATGATTCATTAAAGAATCTGAATAAATGAAACTATGCTTTAATGAGTCAATAGAAGGATAAAATGATCTTTCATCATCATGATGTTTGTCAAATCATTTTTCTCCTGCCACCATTGTAAGACCTTATATCTGGATTTTGTTTTTGGTCAGTCTGATACGTAAATCTATTTTTAGCATCCAATCTTTAAAAATGGAATCTGTAGTATTTACAGTAGCAGATTGTAAACACAACATTCAAACTGGCCCCTCCTCCTCCATGGCTCATCGCTCCCAGTGCGGGATGTTCTGTGTATGTTTACTGCCACACTTCAAGCTACCGCACGTCATTTTTCAGATAAAAAAGCTCCTGACTCCATTTTTAAAAGACAACAACTAAAGGAGACAGTTCTCCAGTCAACTCATTTCAACTGGGAGACAGTTGAAATAAGGTAGAAAAGATGTAACCGAACCTCTAACACACATGGATCCTGCTTTCTCTGATGTTTCTGTGTAGAAGCTGGAGGAGCGCTTCAGGATCAGCAGGAGGGAGCTGATATCGTTTGAGTTCACCATCCTGGTCGCCCTGGAGATGGCGCTCTACCTGCCCGAGAGCAAAGTCATGCCTCATTACAGATGGCTGGTTCAGCAGCAGAAGTCGTAGCAGCAGTGACTCCTCTCTCACTCTCTCTCTCTCTCTCCGGGAAACGCTCGGCAACCTCTGAAACTCCTCGAGGAGATCCTCGCGCTGCCTGAGGCTCAGAGGCTCAGAGGCGCTGTGATTGGACGGACGATGACAGGCCTGCTGGTGCCTGGCTCAACGGCACAGAGAGCAACAGAGCCCTCTTCTTTCCTTTAAACACCAAAGTAACGGCACACTGTGAGCGATGGTTCAGCAGCACGACTAAAAGCTGGTTAAAAAGCACTTAACGATCACTGAAAGGTCTCATGGTCACAGCCAGTTAATTTGTGTCTTTGTAAAAGAAAAGAACGATAAGTTTGCTCGCAGATAACATTCGCTTCACTCGCGACGTTTGACAGATTTCGTCATGACGGAGACTAACAGCGCGATGCTGTCGAGTGATTCATAACACCTCCTTTCTAAAATCTCTGCAGGTGAGAAGAAGAGCATCGAGATTTCCTTTTGGGATCTTCTGTTCAAAAAAATCAAATCTGCCTGGAAGAGTAAAAAAAAAAAAGAAAATGAACGTTGAAGCAGTTTTGAGTTATTGCAATCACCTTCGACATTAAGGAAGCATCCAGGGGGGGAAAAATAATCCAAATATCAAAGATATTTTCTGGGTTTTTTTTTGTCACATTATTATTTCTGACCTCAAAAGCTGCTGAGACGTCGTTGGAGTTCTCCGCAGGCTGCAGTGTGGTTTATAAGGGAAATTTGACACAAGGCTGAATTTTGTTTTTTTTTAATGTGCCGACAGTCGATAAAACACGAGGCAGATTTCTGTATCTGACAATCATTTTTAAGGCATTTCAAAGCATCGTAGAGCAACAGTGCTGAGGCTGCAGCAGCGATGCATCAGCAGCTCTGCATTCTGTGGATGATTTGATTGCAAATATTCAATTTAAGATGATGAATGACGGCAATCAGGAGAGCACGTTCTAGTACTGCGAGATGTTTCCAGCACTTTCTTTTGCGTCTTTCTGACTCACGGTCTTCCTTTTTTTCAAACTATCGCTCACTCTGATGTCATTAAATCAGCACTTTTCTGTGTGTGTTGTCCTGATGTGACGTTGCTTCTTTCTCTGACTTGTGGTCATTTGCACTCCGGCCCACTCGCTCTGAGAGTCGGCGCAGAGTTCAGTCTGAAGCTCCACTGGAGGAGTTCAGATGTTGAAGTGCCTTGCCTTTTTTCTCATTTTCCCATCCTTGTTGTGATGATGTTGCTCCTCTTCCTTCTTCTTTGCTGGTTTGTTGAGCGTACAAATCTGTCACGTTTCTGCAGGATCTTGAGGTCTAATTGAGGAAGCACAGGAATCATCCTGTGAGTTTGCTGAACGCTCGATGGCAGGGAACACGTCTGTTGTTGTTGACATTTTATGATTTAGAAAATGATCGGGGGGATTTAGGACTCGGGGTGTGTAGTCGTCTTCTTTTAAGGTTTAAAGCACAGACCGTGGGCTCAATGAGTCGAACAAGCAGCAGACATTCTTCTGATTACCAAGTCTGTTTATTCTCCTCTATGAAATGTAACAGAGATATCTTTAACGTTTTAGGAGTGATGGTCGCACAAATGTTTTTTTTAAACTTCTGACTCTGAGACATATTTCTGACTAAGACAGATGTTCGTCAATTCAGAAAACAAAAGACTACAAAAGGGAAAAAATGAAAGAGGGAAGATTCATTGAAAAGTTTCTCAAGAACAAAAATAAAATGTGCAGAACTTTTAGATCTGTGATCAGAAATAAGAAAAATCTAAATCACGTGGAGACTAAATCTTCCTCCTCAGATTCCTACTTTTCCAAAATGTTATTGTCAACATTAAGACTTGCACGGCCCTTTTGTTGTATTGTGTTTGTTGTATTGTTAGGACAGATTTGTCACTCGTGAAAGAAAACCTTTTTTCCATCATGGTGGCATCAAAACTCCTGTTACAACAAGCTCCTAATGAAAACTTCTGATATATGTCAGCAGCTTCTTAAGGTGGACTGAACAGTTCTTATTCTTCTTAAGGTGGACTGAACAGTTCTTATTCTTCTTAAGGTGGACTGGACAGTTCTTATTCTTCTTAAGGTGGACTGGACAGTTGTTCTTAAATTGGACTGGACAGTTGTTCCTCTTAAGGTGGACTGGACAGTTCTTCTTAAGGTGGACTGGACAGTTGTTCCTCTTGAGGTGAAATGGACAGTTCTTCTTAAGGTGGACTGGACAGTTGTTCCTCTTGAGGTGGACTGGACAGTTCTTCTTCTTAAGGTGGACTGGACAGTTCTTAAGGTGGACTTGACAGTTGTTCTTAAATTGGACTGGACAGTTGTTCTTCTTAAGGTGGACTGGACAGTTCTTAAGGTGGACTTGACAGTTGTTCTTAAATTGGACTGGACAGTTGTTCTTCTTAAGGTGGACTGGACAGTTGTTCTTCTTAAGGTGGACTGGACAGTTGTTCCTCTTAAGGTGGACTGGACAGTTCTTAAGGTGGACTGGACAGTTCTTCTTAAGGTGGACTTGACAGTTGTTCCTCTTGAGGTGGACTGGACAGTTCTTCTTAAGGTGGACTGGACAGTTCTTCTTAAGGTGGACTGGACAGTTGTTCCTCTTGAGGTGGACTGGACAGTTCCTCTTGAGGTGGACTGGACAGTTCTTCTTAAGGTGGACTGGACAGTTCTTCTTCACGCTTCTTAAAAGGGAACTCATTGTAGCTACAGACTCTCGCTGTGTCTGCATCATGAAGGAGCATCAACAACCAAAACGACCTTCTCTTCATGAACTACCTTAAAAAAAAACATTTTTATTATCTCGAGATGTTTGTGTCTGTTTTCACTGTTTCATAAAGGGACGAATATTTAACCAAACGGACGCCTCCATCACGACGCTCACTCGTTTTTGCACTTTCTGCCTTTTTTGCTTCACAATCCTGAACCTTTATTTTAACTAGTTTTCTACATGTATCGTGTTAATAATTATGTTGTTGTTGTTGTTATTGTTGTTGTTGTTGTTCTGTGTTGGAAAACTGACCCGAGTCACTGATAGTTATTTGCTGATAATCCTCCAGACGTAGAATCAGGTTTGAAACACGTTCCCAGCTCATGTGTTTGAGTTTGGATTTTATTTTACGTCAGGTGTTAAAGGGACTGTTGTTTGTTTGTTTGTTTGTTTGTTTGTTTGTTTGTTTGTATTTGTTGTTTTTAAATGGAGGGTGTCTGTTGTTATCAATGCTTTAATGTTGGAGCAGGAGAGCCACCATTCTCTACTTTCCTACATTGTTTTGGGATTATTGCTTCAAAAAAGGAACAGACTACGGAAGCCCTCAGAGGACATACATTTGATTTCAGTCAGTTTTAATGTGATGATGATTTCATTTTGGCCGTTTTCTTCAGAAACCGAGAAAGTAACTCATTACCTCGGGGAAACAAGCATTGTTATTCCCAGATAATGAGACGGATAGGTCGAGATCTGAAGAAAAAAAGACGTGTATATATATACACATATATTACATATAGAGAAACTAAATGTTTGGATGTCCACTTCGGGCTTCCGTAACAGACAGGTCCTCAGCTGGTCTTTTTTTCTGTCCTGCTCCAACACTGAAAGCAAAGACGAATCCACACTCCACAGTTTTCCCTGAGACGCTTCAGAGCAAAGACGTTCATTTCCATCTCTGTGAGCAATAAACAACGAGTCTGTTGTTAATGAAGTACAAGAGAAAAAAAGCACTAAAACACAAAACTCTGCACGAGAGAGCAGAAACACACTCGAGCTTCCAGAGTCGTCTTCTCTACATTAGAGATCAGTGAGATTCATTCTATGCACCTTTTTTGTTTCTGTCGGCTGAACTACGTCCTCCCTCCTCCTCGTCCTCCTCCTCCTCGTTCTTCTCCTCTTCCTCCTCCTCCTCATCCTTCTCCTCCTCCCTCCTCCTCCTTCCCCTCCCTCCTTCCTCTTCCTCCTCCCTCCTCCTTCCTCCTCACTCCTTGTCCTTCGTCCCTCTCCTCCTCTTCTTCCTCCTCTGACTTTGTTTTGTATAAAGTTGTAACTGTTATTATCCTCTGAAGCGCTGTAAAGGGAACACTCGACAACACTTCCATTTTTAATTATTGCTTTTACATTTGAGGTAAATGTCACTCTAAGTTATTTTATGTAGATTTTTTAAATGTGTTTTTTTTTTTTTTAGCGACAACATTGACGAGTGACGCAGCAGTTTGTGCAGCGTCACGTCGAGGCATCACGTCTGTGTAAATATTATTTATGTGGTTAAAGTTAAGCTGTTTTTCCTACATGGAGCGGTGTAGGTGACGAACACGTGTGACGGAAGTCGATCTATTTTTTGTACTTTTATCTTTGACAGCATCAACGTGCTGCAGTGTCTTTGACAAACGACACCGTCACCAGCGGCTGTGAAAAGCGGAGTCAGTCACACTGCAGGACGGCTCGGTGTTCAGATCAAATAAAAAAGATTTATTTCAAATGTTTTCTAAAAGACCGTATACTGTTTAAACTGCCAATGTTCGATTCATGTCGACTTTATTTTCATTAAAAACATTTACATTTAATCTTCTGTTCCTTCTTTATTTATTCTCAGACTCATTATTTTAAGACGTTTTTCACCTAAAACACGCTGTTTTAGTTTGAAGTGCCAGGTTTGGGAACAATGTGGAGAGAGGTTTGGTTGCATTTAGATGAGGGCTGTCAAACAATTAACATTTTAAGTATTTTGTTATTTCCCATTTGTCAGGCTTTTATTTTGAAATTTTGTACCGTCTTAAACTGAGAGTACTTCACTTGCTGTTTGAATTCAACCCTGCTTTTATTTTGAAATAAAGTAAGGACGTTCTGGTAGGGCTGGGAATCTTTGGGTGTCTCACGATTCAATTCAGAATCGATTTTTGATTCAAAACAATTCTGGATCCATTGATTCATGATTCAAAGTCTGTTTTTGAATGAGCACATACTTCAGGATCTACTCCAGTCGTCTGTGAGCCGGCTGAATTTCTTGCTGCTCCATTTGGCATTCTACTGAGTTAAAGAGCTAGCATTAGCACTTAGCAGGGAGTGACTGATTAGCCCAAAATAAATGAAATAAATAATAATAATTGATTTTTGGAAGTTAGGAATCGATTTTAATTCTTAGAAGGGAAGAATCTCAATCTTTACATAAATCGTTTTTTTTCCTTCCTCTACCTTCTAGCTGTATAAAGGTTACAACGTTACCTTAACAACATTTTTATATCCGAGCAATTTAAGTTAAAGTTAATAAAAACAACTTTTTTTTAAATGTCAACCACATTTTTACGATCTTATCTCTGTTCTGCTGTGCAGTGAATACGTTACCAGTCGACGCCTGCGAGCTAGTTCAGGAAGGCAGCTCAAACTTTATTGATTGCACTTGACATGCATCATTCTCAACAATCACCTGACAACACATCCTTCCTATTAGCTGTTTATTTAAGATTTCCGGTCTCTTTCATTGACCTGCACCAGTACTGCACTTTCGCTCAGCAGCACCCCCACCACCAGCATCCACCTGTTGGCTCTGACAGGGGTGTTTAAAATATCATCACATCACTCCTCAGATTTCTGCATGTAAATTAAAACTGTTAGCAGTGATGAGGTCGGAGCCCGGACGCAAACACAAACTGCAGCAGTAAACATTTTAAGCTATATAAACGTGAGTTTGACTGAAATAATCTTCCCAAAAGACTGAACTACAAACTGCTCTGGATTCAATGCAACATAAAGTTTAAAGTGTAGATGTTTCCACAGGAGGAAGTCCGCTCTCTCTGTCCTCCTCTTGGATGTCGTCATACGCTTGATCGGCCTGCAGAAGAAGAAGAAGAACAGAGGTTTAGTTTGTAATGATGTCAGAAGGTTTGTACAGCTTTTATGAAGTGCACTTCACAAAATCTTCACAAAACGCATTTCCAGGATCACCTCTCCGACGTCCTCATGCACCGCATTGTCCTGCAGAAGAAGAACAACAGGTCAATGTCAGCTGGTTTTACAAACACTAGGAAAGCTGAATATTCAAAATGATGTGGTAAACTCTCACATTGTTGATGTTGACGTAAATTAGTTCCATAAGAGGCTCTGAAAAACATACAGTTCAGAATATTAGGACATTGCAGGGTTTTTGACCATGCTGAAATTAGCATTTAGTGAATCTTTTTTTTTATTTTGTATGAGAAAATCTGAATCTGACGCTCTGTTTTTCTGAATTAATGACAACTGCTACCTTACAATTCCAACAGATGCTCTCTTTTTAACCACTTAAAGCAGCAAACATTCCCAGACTGTGACGTTTAACACCGTTTTATTTTTGGTTTGGGTTTAAAGAATGGGGAGATAGGCGTGACTTTATGGAACAAAGATGGTATTGTTCCTGTTGCAATAAATAAATAGCAGTTAACCCTTTGGTTGCTCTTTCTGCACACCTCCTCTTTGCACTTTACTAACATGGTAGGAATTCCCATTTTGGTATGAGCTCTTGATTTATTTTATTGCGATGTCTTATATTGTTTTTTATATTTTGTTGTGTTGTCTGATTTTTTTTTTACTTCTGTTCTATGTTATCTGTTCTAATTTAGATTTTACGGTGATGTTGTCCTCGTGTTTGTTGTCTTCTGTGTGCCCCTGCTGCAAAACAAATGTCCTCTTGTGGGACAATAAAGAATCTGAATCTGAATCTTCTGTATAGTTTCTCCATCAGACCTGAAACACTGTGTATCTTGTGAGTGTGGTGAGTTTTAGATGATGTTAACATGCTCACCTTCAGGTGTTGTGGTCCTCCTCCTGCAGACTATCAGCACAGCTGCTGATGATACAATAAATATGAAGACCAGGATCAGACGCATATACATCACCAAGCCTGTGGTCGTTGGAGTTGAGAAACATGAAGGTTTTTTAATTTTTTTTCCAAAACTCTCAATACCCATCATCACTTTAGTTTGGTGACTTGGTATCTTTTTAGGTATGTTGTTTTAAAGGTCACATATTATGCAAAATACACAACGTCCTCTCCGTCTTTGGTCTGCTCCACTTATCAGAAAATGTGTGCTCAAACAGGCCGTTTGGAGATTTTCCCTTTATGACATCACAAAGGGCCATAGCCCCTCCCCCAGGTGGGTGACACTCCCACAGCTAGGTGTTTGTTCTGTCCTCTGAGTCTGCCTTCTCACCGTAAACAATAGGACATGGAGGAGAAAGCACAGAGTACACCAAAGCCTTTCCAGAGAGGGGGCGTGGTCAGACACAGCTCATTTACATATTTAAAGGTACAGACACAGAAACAGCCTGAGCAGGGCTGAAATAGAGGGGTTTATAGACATGATCAAATACAGGATCAGAGTGGAATTAGAACAAGAGACTTCACACACATTTTTGAGGAGCTCTGAGACTTATTTAAACTGGTTGTAAAGGAATATAATATGTGACCTTTAAAGCGGAAGTGGAAGGTGGCTCGGGTGGATCTACCTGGAGCTGCAGGTACATTGGTTGTCGGTGTTGCAGTCGGTGCAGAGGCTGATGGAGTGAATATGGAGAAAGGTCGAAGAGTCCCGTTTAATTCTGGAGAAGTTGGAGCTGAGAGAGAATTAGTCAATTATTTACTGATTGTACAAATAAAGTCACCCAAAGGTATTTTTTCTTTGTAACAACACAAATTATCTCAGTCAGTGTGTTTTTAATCATGAAGCTAAAAGAAAGTTTGAACTTTGGCAGTTTGAGTTGCTCTGATATTTGACAGAGGAACGGTTGGTTTTAAAGAGCATTTATCAGATTCAGAGCAAACAATGATGAAGTGACTATAAATTAAATTGCAAGGCAAAAATATCATGAGAGGATGAGACTGAAGATTAAAAAACTCACCATCAAGAACTCTGAGCTCAAACGTCTTGGATAACCTTTGAGACTGATTCCCCTCCAACACACATGTGTACGATCCAGAGTCAGACTTTATCAGATTTGAGATGCTCACATAGACAAGCGTATGAGATCTTATGTATTCAATGCTGTATCTGCCACGCTGAGCACTGACATCCGATGTTTCAACGAGGATGTTGTCATCTGTACAGTCGTCCCTACAGAAGACCTTCCTTATGCCGGGGACATCGTAGTTGCAAACCACTAAGAGGTTTTTACCTTCAGTTCCAAAACGTCTACCGATATCCATTGTGAGAGCATCCTGAAGTGTTGCTGTTAATAGAAACAATCAGTGTGACTTTATTTAAAGTGCATCAGTTCAATCATAGAGTCACACTGACAGTGACGATGTGCATCAAAAGTCTGACAGCAATCTTTTTAAAGCAACAGTACATGATTTTTTCCACCTTTAAACAGTCGTTTCAAAGCTTGATTTCATAGCACAATAACTTTTAACATTGTGAATGATGTCTCTTCAAACCAAACCCTGTAGTCTAAATGAAACATCTGTGTTGTGCTATAGTCAAAATATAACATGAATCAAGCACCAGAGGTGACCTTGTATAAACCAGCTCTCTCAGAACGCTCCATTTTCGTGTGTGTGTCTCTTTAAATGCAATGACCCCCCTCTGAGTTTTCCCAGTAGACATCACTCCTCTGTAGAGAGAATAAAAATGGCAGATCTGCGCATAAGTTTTGGAGAGCACATTTGAAACGGAGCATTTTTCTCTGTGTTGTAAGACTTATGCAGACAACAAACAAAGGACTGGATGGGTTTATTTCACATGTTGTGGGTCAGTAGACACTCAGGTTACTCAAATATATGTTCAGAAACACTGTACAATTGGTTTTAAGAACATGTCTCCTTTAAGTTCGATCTTTTTGCTTAAACTTATATGGATTTCGTGGTTGAGACGTCTCAAATTCTATGTTTGGGCTGACTGAGCGACATCACACAAATAGAAAAACATCTACGGAATACCGCAGAAAAAAGCTTACTGGCTGATTAAATATTGACAAACTAAACAAAATATTTTGTCGATGTATATAAATGATTCACTCAAAGTCCTCTGCACTTTCAGATGATATGAAGTAAAGCTCGCTGGTAAACAGAAATGTAAAATGTATCATAGCTAAAATAGAAAATTAAAAATATAGAAGAAAGTACTCACTGAGGAGGACGAGGAGGAAGATCACAGTGTTACAGACTTTCATGTTTGAGTCTCTGATGGTTTAACGCTTCCTCCCATCCTTCTCATCCACTTTATAACCACAAACTTTAAATCTTTCTTAATGATCAAGTTCCTCCTCAAGACGTCACACTCTGAACTCCTCACCTCAGAAAATGTCAGTTCAATCAGGAGAGACAAGTGAATTAAGAAAATGATTTATTACAATGAATAACATGGAAATGTGTCTTGACAGAAATGATTTGGTGCTTGGACTCTGTGGGGTGGTTGATGTGTTTGGCGAATGATAATTCTGAGTGTTTCTGATAGAATCGATGTCTAAATATATGACGTGAACCTACATCAACGTGGCTCTGATAGAAATAATATCCAAATTAATGTATGGTGACGTATATATGTTTAGATTCTTATTCTTAATCTTATTGAGTAAACTCGGTTTAGTTTAAACAAATGTCCTCCGGTCAGAGTGGGAGTAACCCTTGGGCGGCCCCCCCCTCTCTTGCAGCTGATAAAAGTTCAGACTCAGCTCAGATCCTGCTTCTTGCTCTTCTTCTTACGCTTCTCTTCAGACTTAAGTTCGAATCACCTTAAGACTTTTAAGTTTGCGCCGTAGAGAGACGAATCTCTGCTGAACTTTTCCTTCGTAAACCTTCAGCGCACATTTTTGAAACTTCAATTATTTTGGCTCAAGCAAGGCTTTTCAACTTTCTTCTCCAAAGTCTTGACTCTTCAATTTTGAATGCCAGTTTCTTAAATTGGATTCATCGAGATGGCCATCGAAATGTATTTATTATATTCATTAAAACACTCTTTACTATTTTTCTTGTTGGATCCACTTGGAGCTGATGACGACACAACCACGACAGCTGAACCGCCGTGCAATCTCCATCCCAGCTGCATACTCCGACCCAGGTGCTAATCTGGCCCGTGGACCTCTCTGGGCCTGAAAAGAACCACTTGCTGGAGACTGAAACGCGGGACCAGCCGACGGAGTTCATCCGAACCTCCTCACAGTAAAAGCGTTGGTTCCGCAGGGGTGTTGAGAGATTCGGTCGTGAGTCGTGTCTATTCAGAGCTCCTTTAAATCCAAATTGAATCCCAAAATTAATTTATCAACTTTTTCACCTTCGATAATTTACTGATTAAGCCATTCAAAACAATACCGCGTTTTAGCTCGTTATTAAATATATAATGTCACCATACGTTATAATTGCATTATCCCGATCATAAGAATCATATTCTTTATCTGTTTCATCTATATACTTTATTGTTTATCGTTTCTATATTAAATTTTACACATAAAATTCAGAACTTTGTCTGTGTTTTCTGGTTTAAACATTTCTAGAATTACTTCCTTCAAGATATGAAACTGACTGATTAATTAATTACTATAAGTAATGTTAATTTCCTTACTTTGTAAGGTGGTGCTCCGGGGTTAAATAGAGATAGAATATCTTAATAAATTAATTATGCTACATTTGTAAGTTACACAGGGTACGAGAGGTTGGATGCATTTTTCTATGTACTTAAAATTGTGACTTTGCCCAAACATTTTTTTGGAGTCCCTACAGAATCAAGATAAGAAGATTTATGTTTTGCAAAAATTATGTTACCAACAAGTAAATATTAGTGGGGATAGAAAGGGTAAAAAAGCTTTTTTTTCATCTGCGTGCGTGTGCAAACACAAAAACTTCTTGCTGCCCCTGCATACTGTAAGTCAGTGCCCCAGGTGGGCCACCTCAGTTAAAAAAAAGTCTGTACACACCCCTGTTGTCATAGAAACAAACTTTCCAGTTTTTGCCCATCTGTCTTCCCCAATATTTCAGGTTTTTGACGAGTTATTTCATGAAAGAATAACTCTTAGGTCATCATGTTTTGTACGGTGCAAAAGAAAATGGGACTCAGTTTTGACTTCAAGCTAGTCACACAACTCACAAAGTTTGTTTTCTTTGAGGATGTGTAGAAAGAAAGTGTAGCTGTCCCTTTAATGCTTTCAAGAGGATTAAACTCTTATCCGGAAAAACCCTATGTTTGACCTTTTTACATCATATTTGTTGTTCTGCTTTCTGCACATACGTGTGCTTAAACATGACTTTCAAGTCTCTTCTTTGGAGCAGTTGCAGTTTTATGAACTTCCTCATTTTAAACAAACTCAGAGAAAGTCTTCCTGGACAAAATTATTTCACACTCAGACTTGGTTTCCATCATCCACACATCAGTGTTTATATCAATACAATAGCAGTCCCATCACTAATTCCCTCACAAAAGGTAAGATAGAGAAGATAAGATAAGATACACTTTTAATGTTGCCAAAGGGAAATTCGTCTTGGACTCAGTCCTGCAGTTACAAGAGAATTAATAAACATAGAGATCATACAAAACACATATACTGTACATAAAACATTACAGTAATGACATATTGACATGTTGCATAGCCCTTCAGCACATGCCCCTACATTACCTCTTATTCAGAATAATAATAGACATCAGTACAAATGAATGTTTAAAGCAGTTAAGCCTGGTGTGAGGGATCCTGAATCTTCTCAGAGGGTAAAAGATGAAACTCAGAGTGAAAAATGTGAGTCGGGTCTAAGCGGAAACCTCCGGTCTTGAAAAATGAAGCCAATGCGGAAGTGCAAAATCCTGCAAAAAAAGTGGAGTGTCCACGAGAGGCTGGCTCCAAGAAAACCAGAAGTCACATACACACAACAAGCAAAAAAAGCCGTTTTTACAGCATAAATAAACATGTTTACAGTCTGGTACAAAATACTAAATAGGTCTGATTAGTTATTGTCATCATGGGCACACACTGTATGTTAACGTTACATGTTATTCATAGTTAGGCGTGTAGCTGACATGATTGACAGGCGGGCGAGATGTAACTGTTCATCGAGAGGTTTAAAACCCGCCTCAGCTCCAGCTCTCAGCCTGTCGTTAGGCTGACTGAAAGTTAGACTGAGACATGTTGAAGATGAGCCTCCACAGCCCCCTGCAGGAACAGATGGCTGACATCACAACGCTTCGTCCATTTATAGTCTATGAATACGACGGAGATGAGGGCCACGTCAAAGAAGAAACAAATCCTAAATTTGGAGGTTAAAGTCGTACATTAACGAGAATAAAGTTGTTAATTACAATATTAAATCCTTAGACTGATTTAAATGAGGCTATGGTTAAAATTATTCTTCTGAAAGGTTGTATCAGAAAAGCAGCCAAAAGAAATTTTCCACTAAAGAGACAATTTCCTTCAAGTCAGCATGGTTCTCTCTGGAAAAGCCCCCGTTTCTTGCTGATACTGATGACAATGTGAATCTGATGTGACAAAATATTAAGTATTTCCTTAATTGTGAAACTTGACTAAGTATAACTTCACAAGAAGCTCCACGTTCCTCATTCTTGAGCAGGCGGCTGCTGCTCTTCTGATGCAACTACAGACTAAAATGATGCCATTTTTGTGGATCTGTGGGCTCGGTGCTTGTTATCAAAACGCTGTTGGCGGTCGCAGAGGTTTTTTTAAACGATTCTGTTATCAGTGGATCGTTTTCATGTAAATGTGGCCCACATGCAAAATTTTGTGTTCACAAAGTGTAATCTTGGCACAGATTTTACTTCACTCTGTTCTCAGAGGACTCTGCGGTGGAAAGTTTAAACAGCGGATATTTCCACAGGAGGAGATCTGTTGCGTCTGTCCTCCGCCCTGACCTCCTTGTGCACTTGTTTTATCTGCAGGAGAAGAGCAGGGTTCGGGTTTGTAACGATATCAGCTCATTTTTACAAACACTTATAAAGCTTGTTTTCCCAAATCTGCTCAAACTCACCTCTGTGACATTCATGTACTCTGGTTCCACAGCAGGCTCTGAAAAACATCCAGATCAGGAGATTAGGTTTAGATTTTTTTTTTACATTTGGACTCCTGAGGATTTCACGAGGACTGCTCCTCAAATTCCATCTTTAAAAAACAACTGACTCATGCTATCAAGGCTCTGATCCGGTGACGCTACATGACTCGCTTTTTATGTCTCACTTCATGGGATCCCTCTGCTGCCTACATTTGGACAGTGATGTGTAATGCATTCATAGAAGCGAGACCGGAAAACACTTCACCGATCAGTAAACGTAGAACGTTTTAAATCTACAGTAGTACTGCTGTTTTTATATATTTTACTCTATAGTAGCTCGATATATATATTTCAAAGTAATTATTAAAAGACCTTTTCAGTGTCATTCTCTCCTTGTGGGCAGTGGTGGCTGGTTAAAAGAGGGTGCAACAGTCGGGCACCACCACTGCCCACAAGAAGAGAATGATGGTGAAATGTAAATTTAAAAAATGAGGGTGCTTTTGCGGGATGCTATTGATTGACACGTCTGACCCCTACCTCATGACAGCATTGACAGACATGGCTATATAGAATAATGAAAGGTCTCACTGCTGGCCTGATAAACTTCTGAAGGTCATATAGAGGCACCAGTTTTAATTCTGCTCCAACTTCTCACAGGAGCTTAAAAATCTAAAATGTGTTAGAAAAGTAGAAGCTTTTCTGTGTTGCATTGTGTCATTTGTGTGTTTCCTCACCTTCCGGCTTAGGCCTTCTGGTCCTCACCATGAAGTATATCAGCACAGCTGCTGATGTCACGATAAACAAGATGACCATAACCACCCGGACATACAGAGAAACATCTGCAGAAGGTGGAGCAGAAACACATCACATTTCATTTTTCACTTTCCTGGTAGGTAGGAAAGTATACCGTAAAACTTTGGATAAAAACCTGTCCCAAGTTAAGGCCAAGTCCCCTTAAATAGCCCGCTGGAGCTGCAGGTCTTGACAAATAACGGCAGGTCTCAATATGAGGCCGCGATGCATTTAATGTTGATCCGTTTGCAGATTCAAAATATGGAGGAAAAAGCAGCAATACACAAAAAAGATGAACTCTGTCCAAGAAAGACAGAATGATGCTCGTAGTGTTGTCGTCAAGACCACACTAACAGAGACCAAAACAAACCCGAGACCAGAGTGCTCAGAGACCGAGACATTTAGGGATCGAGACCAAGTCAAGACCAAGACTGGTGTTGCTCCTGAATTGCAAAGTGCCTACACACTCTGACAGTAGACAGTCCCTTCTCTCCGTGCTGCATCCTGTTAGCACCTACTGTTCAGTAGGCCGATATTTGTTCCTCCTTCGTTTGATTCATTCAGTGTGGAAGCGGCATCGTTAGCCCGCCTCATCTTATTGACTCTCCAACTCAGATGTGAAGGATGGCTCAGTGAATAATACAAAACTTCACATTGCTTTAAAACAATTTAACAACTTTACATTTGAAAGGCACGTTACCTGAACCGGCCTCTTTCATACTCTACTTTGCCAAGTGTGAGTGCGTCCTAAATTGTGTTGTAGTGGGTCTGGACGTGGTCTTAGGTTGGGTTGTGGTATGTGGTTAAGTTTTGGTATTTTTTTGCAGTGGGTTGTCTTGTGATTTTTGTTTCATGTTGTGGTTTATGGTTCTGTGTAACTTGCTTGTGTTTGAACAGTTTTGTTATAAACTGGTATTTAGCTGTTTTTTTTTTTTGGTCTTTGATCGACTTTCTGTAATGTGTTGTTTTCTGTTAACTGTATTTCTTTTAGTCAATGGTTGTGTTGTGGGGATGTCGAAAGCAAGAGCTACCAGCTACCAGCCAACTCAGATGTTGTGTGGATTTTTAGCCGTAATGCACGCATGACCGGTTTACAAAAATATGCAGCGCGTTAATTTACTCAAAGACACAGATTTGTGATGATGAAGTGTACAAAATAAGGAGCTCTTCATCACCACTGTTCTGGGCTACAAAATAACTTTAAAGTAAAGCTGGAGGAATTTAACACGTCTTCTTTTAGTGAAGAATAGTTCACATTTATTGGAATGAGGTGGCTGTAAAATAACGCCGTAGATTTGTTCAATAAAAAAGGAATTGTTCATGTTTCTCCACTGTGGAAATAATCTTGTGAATCAATAGAATGTCAATGAAATGATGCGCATGTACCTTTAGCTGCAGACAGGGATGATTCATAGGTGGCTGTAGCAGATAAAGAGAAAAAACACAACGACACACTCAGATACAAAGTCGTCTGTAATGCGGTGAATGTATCATTAAGACACATCAGCAGCTATCAATGAAGAGCAAGAACTCACCGTCTTCGACTCTGATCACAAACGTGTTGTTTTGATCACGGCCGTTTCCGAAGGCGTCACATCTGTATCGTCCCGAGTCAGACTTTGTCAGATTTGTGATGCTCACATAAAAAATGTCTCTGTCTTTATATTCAATACTGTATCTTCCACGCTGAGGTCTGCCATTGCCATAGCTATTGCCATAGATTGTTCTGACAAGTAAGTCTTCACCTTCACAGTTGTTCCTACAGAAGGTGGCAAAGAAACGATAGTTTTTGGAGGTGCATTCAACCGAGATGTTTCCTCCTTCAGTTCCAATGTAGACCCTTCCTGTATCGGCGGGGCCTGTGCTTCCATCCTGCAGAGCTGCTGGACGAAGAACAATTAAAGTTACTATCGATACTTTAATCTGCTGTAGTCGTTTTAAAAGTCTGAGTGAGTGATCAGTCGATGGGAAGACAATACGAGGAAAGCTTGAAACATAAAGAACTGTGGTGCTTCCTCTTTATCCAAACACTGGAGAAATCGGTAGCCGACGTCTTGTTTGGCATGAATGTTAAACTCTGTTAAAATGGGTCCGGAAGAAAATATTTTAAAGTTTGCGTCAGGTTTTGTTTTACACGAGTTGCAGCCACATCTTTAAAGTCCATAGGAGCAAATGAAGAAAATACTCCCAGAAAAGAATGGAAACTCAAATAATAAAGAGAAAATATATTAATCTTTCATAAATACACAACATACATTTTTGTTGATGTGTCTTTTGTTTGTTTGATCAGATAACATTTCTTACACAAGAATGACGTCGTTGATATCCACTTTATCTGGGGCATGACATTTTGGGAGGATTTCTTAACAACAGCTCTATATTTGGAAACATTTGCAAACAGAAGTTGACTGTTTTAGTTCCTCACCCCAACACCCTATTATAGATTTAAATATGATGTTAAAAATGGTTCATTGTGAACCAACACTGATGCTGCACCTACCCGAGGTAACTTTATCTGTATCATGTCCTATTGTTTGTTGGAAAGCATTTGTTCCTGTTAACCAAATCATATTGTATATATCTGTATTTTACTACGCTAATGATCGTATGATAATGGGTTATATTTAATTCTGTGACGCCAAAGATCATCCGGCAAAGAGACTAAGAAAATTAACCTTTCAGCTCACTCGGGTACATTTACATCCGTCTGAACGTTGATTAATGTACACTGTTCCTCTTCAAATAATAATAATAATAATAACTTTATTTATACAGCACCTTTTAAAAAACACAGGTTTACAAAGTGCTTTGACAAACAGCAAAAACAAGAACAAACTAAACCAAACACAGAAGAACATAAACAACAGCAAGAACATAACAAATGCAAAATACTAAAAATAATTAAATACAATTCAACAGAAAAGAACCCAAAGTGCACGATACACAACAGACATATATAACCCGACCATCACAAATAAATATATAATTAAAGGAGCTGTTTCTTCTCTACAAGGTTCAAAGTCAAAGTTGTTTACACAACAACGCTGACAGAAAGTCTTCAAGAAAATAAGAGGGGAAAAAAGAAAATGAATGATAGAAAGAGAGAATTAGAGAAACATAATTTGGATATTGTACTCACCAGAGAAGAAGAAGCAGATCAAAGTGTAACACACCTTCATGGTTAAGCCTCTGATGGATTCTCGTCTTCTCGAGTAAACCAGGAACTTCTTTTCTTTTTTGTCTGATGGAGTTCCTCTTTGAACCAACACAAACTGAACCCCTCCCTCTATGATCACTTTCTCTATTTTCCGTTCAGCCCATTACCTGCTTCCTTAATTTGTGACCAAAACATATGACAGTCCAAGAATCATGACACAAAGTTGTTTTAAGTCTTCAGGTCGTTGAAGCGGCCCTTTAAAAATAATAATAATAAATACCATAATGTAACTTTGCTCAGGAAAATGGTAATATTGACTAAAACTATGAATGGAAGCTGGCATGCTCACTGAAGCTTCAGTGTTTAGCCAGCTCTGCCTTGGTCTGTCAAATTACAGAAAAAACAACTACAGTGGGCCAGCGTACCTCCGTTGGGAAGTGAAGCGGTCTCTGAAGGTTACAGGCACACTAAGTGGATAAGGTGGAAAGGTAAGAAAAAGAGAGGAAAACGCTGACCTGTTTCAGCCTATTCGCCTCGTTCGGGCGTTAGATTACTTCACAGGCGTGCTGGGACAGGAAAGCTTCCTCGTTGTGTCCACAACCCGACAGGTGACATCATTGACTTTTGCTTTCCTGACATCGTTGTCTGATTTTGGGGGGAATGGGATCCATTGACACTCATTTTGAATGACTTCACAAAACTGTCTTTTTTTCTCTTTCTGGTGGTCAAATTTAGTTTTTGTACGTCATGGAGAGGCATCAGTAAAAAACATTTGACCAATTTAACACTCAACAAAGTGAGTTTGTCTATAACACATGCTGAATACTTTGTCTTTATTTTATTCTCAAGACAGCACTCATCTTCTCATCAAGACAAGAGGTTAGATTACAACTAATACATGTTGTTGCAACGTTTAAACCATGTGCAGAGAAATGATAGAATGAGGAAAAATCCACCTCAGAGTCTGTGAGTTTGTTTGACTCATCCTTACTCATAAAGGAGTCAAATATGAACAGTTATAATCCAAATTGCATCTTAAAATCATCATCATTTTAATATTTTGAATCATTTACACATGTAGAATTGTTTTCGTTTCTTCATTTTTTTATTCAACAGAAACATCCCGTCTGAAGACTTCCTTAGCGACACATCATAAGTTTACAGTTTGACACTCGATGTCAGGAATACGATCACAGAAACGCCTGGTTCTTTCAGTGTAGAAAGACATCACATTGCTAATAAAAAAATAAAAAAATCACATCTCCAGAATCTTCTCTCCGGCCTCCTCATGCGCCACGCCAGCCTGCAGAAGAAGAACAGTGACTTCGATGTCAGCTGGTTTTACAAATGTATAAAAGGTAAATATATAATATTCTGTTAAACACTCACATTGATGGTAACGTCCTCGAGTCCCACATGCGGTACTGAAAAACATACAGTTTAGAAGTTTAGGTCCATTAGGCATCGCTATAGGGTGACCAATGATTGAGCAACATTTGGTGCAAATGTAAAGTGATTGTGTCCTTTGTTTTCCGTCTGGACCGGAGCGCTGTAACTTATGAGTAAGGTGACTTAAAGATGACCTCTCACCTTTAGGTCCTCTGGTCCTCCTGCAGACTATCAGCAAAGCAGCTGATGAAGTGATGATCATGATGATCAGAACCAGCTTCACATTCAGCTGAACACCTGAGTTTGTCTCCAGGGGCAGACCTTTGTTTAAGCAGAGGAACAAGAGTTTTCATTACTTTCTTATCCATTTGTCCAGTCATTTAAACCAACGATGAACGTATTAAACAGTTTTTAAACCAACAAGTCGTCTTTTCTTTTTGCAGATGATGCAGTTTTGTTAGCTTCGTCAGGCAGCAGGCATTTGGGTTTGGAGCCGAGTGCGACGCTGTTGGGATGAGAGTGAGTCACTCCAAATCTGAGATCATGATTCTCTCCTGGAAAACGCTGGAATGCCTCCTCTGGGTGGTACGTTTGTCTCTTCCTAATCGCTATATGTAGAATCTGTACACAGGGTTCTAGTATTTCAGGATGTGAAGCATTCTGGTTTTTGTAGTCTGTTCAGTATCAACCTATTCTGTATCGACTGCCTTTGGGTTTTTACAGGTGAAACAATCTGTGTGGACAGCAATTATTATTTCTTTAGATGTAATCCAAGCGTATAACATACCAGCTCCCATCGGCAGTATGAGGACGATGATTTATTTGCAGATATGTGCATTAAAGTGAAGCTAACCATCCATCATAAATCAAACATTATAACTTGAGCCACTGATCTGCATGAAAGCCAATCAGCGTTTAGATTCTCTAACTACCTCAAACGCATCAGAATTGATCCGTCCGACCTCCTTAAAGTTTCTTCTCCTCTTGAGGACAGACTTGACGAAGCTCAACTTTTTATTTTGTACAAATCTTTATCATGATGTTGTTTATCGGCAGACTTTATTTACATTAATTGCAAGTAAACTATAAGGAAGTCGGTTTGTTACTCAGTCTATGGCTCATACCGCTGAAGTGAGACCAAGTGAAACCTCTTTATTGCAAATGTTCAGCTGTTGAACTGAGACTGGACAGATGAACAGGCGTTCCTCCCAGACGTTATGGATGAAGAAATCTTGTTAGAAAGCTTAATGCTACCACCGGCTTCACCAGAATTACCAAAAAAATTGGCATCCGTTCCCAGAGATATATAGAGATATATACTATATTATATATCGGACAAGGATAGACAATAATTTGCTATGGGTTCCGAAATTTTAGAGACAGAAGTAAAATTCAAAGTTCGTTATAATGGTAATCAGGGTCGCAATTACAAAAAAAATCCAAAAACTCAAGGTGTCCAAACCGTAAGGTTACCACTGGCTTCACCAGAATTACATTGGCATCCATTCTCAGAGGCATCTGTGCTCTATCAGACGATGAAGTACGATTGTGGATGGGTTACAGAATCTGCCTCAAGTGAGGAAGTTCAAGTATCTCGAGTCTTGTTAACCAGCCAGGGTAAAATGAATGGTGAACATGGGCGGTTCTAGGTAGGGGCCAACAGGGGCCAGTGGACCTGTAACACTGAGATTGGTCCCCCCTGTGGCCACCCCTCCAAAAGGAAGAGCTGGCCTAAACAGTATTTGATTCAACAACTGGATTTACAATCTAGTATTAAATACTCTTACTAAAACAAATATAAATCACTGTATTTTATGTTTTGGTATTTAATGATGTGTGCTATTACTTGGCATTAATATATTTTTTGTCTATTTTTCATCTGGGTTTAATGTCCCCCTCTGACAAAACAACTGGCCCCAAGTTTGGCCCCCTCAGTAAAAGTGGTCTAGAACCGCCACTGATGGTGAAATGGACAGGTTGGTGCAGAATCAGAAAAAAAACAAACAGGTAAATGTACCTCGAGCTGCAGCTGGTGTTGCCAGTATCTCCAGTGTTGGCGTCAGCGTGGAGGCGGGTGGAGCAGATGTTGACAAAGGAAATGGTTCAGAAGTTGTTGGATCTGTGAAACGCATAGAAACTCTTAGATACAGATTTGTAAAGATACTATGTTTTCCTGTGAAACAGTGGCCGTAAAAAATGTCTGTCAAGTTGAAGCAGTTTCAGAGGAAATGTGTAGACGTACTTTGAGCTGGGGTTTTCAGGTTTGTCTTCAGCGTGGAGGCTGGTGCTGGTGCTGGTAACTCATTTTGGGTAGGCTGTTTCCGTTCAGAAGTTGTTGGAGCTGTGAATGAAAAGAAACTATTAGATACTGATTGCACAGATACTATGTTTTCCTGTGAAGCATTGGCCTTAACATACATCTTAAGTTGATGCAGTTTCAGAGGAAATGGGTAAATGTCCGTACATTGAGCTGCGGTTAACCGGTTCTGCATGTCAAGGACATCGTTTTTGACTTGGCACGCTGTAACGGAGCGTTTTTGAGTTTTCATGTGGACAAAGATGTTTTTGAGAATTTAGCGTGTGTGGACGGGATTATTTTTTCAAACACAGGCTGAAAACATCTGTTTTCAAAAATACCGGTCTACATGTGTACTAGGCCTTAGTGTGGTAGTTTGAGTTGATTTTATATTTTCAACCAATCAATCTTTATTTGTAAAGCGCCGGTTCAAAACAAATGTTATCTCAAGACCCTTTACCTAAAGAGCAGGTCTATCACTGTACTCTTCATTATCTTATTCACAAAGACCCAACGTTATCCACCATGAGCAAAGCACTGAGCGGTGTTTAACATGGGGCATTAATCTACGGTGGCTGGGAAGTGCAAACCAAAATTACAAAGTGTGAAACACTTTTACAAGGCTTGAGACAAATTGACATTTCGGAAAACAATTTCAAATCGTATAAAAACCAAATGACAAAACCAAAACACTTTAACAAAGGACAAAACTAATTAACAAAATGTGAAACACTTTTACAAGCGCTGAGACAACATCTTTTGATCACCATAAACTCTTTGTCACACATTTCTTTAATCCAAAACCAACTATTTGAGCACTCTCTCAGTCACCTCCAATATTCGGTACATTCCCTTTCCTGCTGAGATTCTGCCTTTTGTAAGTTTGTTTGGGGACTGGTTAAACTGTTCAGGTGGTTGTAAATGTGTCTCAGTGCTCGGAAAAGTGTTTCACATCTTGTAAATGTGTTTTATAAAATGTGAATTTGTTTTCTCCTTGGCGTTCTGAATCTTGTAAATTTGTTCTCCAAAATGAAGATTTGTCTCCAGCTTTGTAAAAGTGTTTCACACTTTGTAATTTTAGTTTGCACTTCCCTGCCACCGCATTAATCAGACTGCTGTTGTTTAAGAGAAAAAAAACAACTCACCGTCTTGAACTCTGAGATCAATCACCTGGGTTTCATGTGAGAGCTGACCGTCGCCAAACACACAGCTGTATCTTCCCGAGTCGGCCTTTGTCAGCTGTTTGATACTCACGAATAAAGTTATCACACTGGGGAGCGAATCACGGGGAACATATTTCATTGTGTATCTGCCTCGCTGAGCACTGAAGCCACTTGTTTCAACAAGAACGTCTTCATCTCTACAGCCCTCCCTGCAGAAGCGCTTCATTTTGTTCGGGTTATCAAAGACACATGTCATTGTGATGTCTTTGCCTTCGGTTCCCGTATGGACGTAGACACGTAGACCTTCTTCAAAACAAGTTTGTCCTTCCTGCAGTGGTGCTGAAAATATAAACAAACATTGTTACCGTTTCTCTGACGCAACAGTCTGATCGTCTTAAGTTAAAACTAGTCTTGTAGAACTACAAATCTGTATCTCTCAGACTGGGCGGATTTTAAATTCTTTGATTAGAATGAAAAGAAGAAACAACTTCAATTAATTCATAATTTGATTTCTATCTCCCTGTTACGTCCACAACCTTCCCGGTGTTACCGTCTAAGTGAGTGACACGTCCAGCCGTGGCACACAAGATTATGATTTTTCACTGATATTTGTGGTCTTGTCCTGCCTTGGTCTTGGTCTCTACTTGGTTCCCTTAATGTCTTGGTCTTGTCTCGCTCTCAGCACTCAGCTCTCGGGTATGTCTTGGTCTCGGTTAGATTGGTCTTGACTACAACAAGTTAAAACTGCCAACAGAAGAACTCTATCAGCCGCTAACTGTAAGAGAGCTTTCTTAATTTATTCACTTATGGTCCATGAACTTGCTCTTATCCTGGTTTTATTCATTTGAGTGATTGTCTTATTGATTTTATTAATTGATATTTCTTTAGCTTATATGCCCTGATTCAGCACTTTTGTCATTTTTAGGATTTTCATGACATTTCACTTTGTGTTCAATAGTTTTCTCTTTCTCTAATGTCTTGTTTTCTTGTTATATCTGTTTGGAATTTGTGTGTCACAGTGGATGTCATCATGTCGCTTGCCGCTTACTTCCTCTTCATTTTTCTTTGTTGACTTTCATTGACAAACTTTGGTTCTCATAGCAATAATGCATGTGATGCCAAGCAGGGCAACGCGAGTGAGTGCTGTCAGATGGGGGCCCCCTACTGTCATTGCAAAATTTGCACACTTTGGGCCACTGCTTTGGTTTAAGTTAATGAACCCCTCAGGGCCCTCCTACTGGTCTGGGGACCCAAGCAGATGCCTGCCGTGCCTGTCGACAAACAGCGCCACTGATCACAAAGTTTGTGAGTATTGCGTAAAAGTGAAGGCCGATGCACTTTTTTTTTTTGTCACAATCCTCACTGCAACCATTTCGCAACTTTCTACAGAAGTGTAAGGCAGGAAGAAAACATGAAAAAGTGGATCTTGAAACTGACTCTGGAGGGGGAACATTGTTCCTCTTTGACATGATTCATCTCTGATGGACACTAATATGCCTTTTTGAAACATGACAGCCTGGAGGGAAAACATGGTGCTCCGCCCTAATAATCTTTGTACTGTGCAAAAAGGGGAAGAACAGCATGAAAAATCACAATAAGTAAAGCATTACGTGTAATCCTATGAATGAAAAAATGTTATATAGTAAGCTATAATTACCAAATAGTCTATGGACATTTGTCGGACTGAACCCAAAATACTGTCTGCTATATGCACATCACATTTGAGGATTTGTTTGGGGACTTTTTATTCCTTTCTTAGAGGGACGGGACTTTGGATAGAGTCAAAAATCAGGGAGAGAGAGAGAGAGAGTGGGAAAACAAGCTGGAAAGAAGCCACATGTTGGACTCAAACCTGGGCCGTCTGCTTTAATCTGATGCAATCTGAGCAGGTGTAGGTGCAGCAGCTTCTCATGTCTTGCTGTATATTTTTATATTTTTCATTATTCATCTTGTCTATAGCTGCAGCTGCTTGTCAAAATAAAATGTTGTTGTATTGCATGAATTACATTAAAGTGTCTCATGTCTTTAACAAAGGACAACAGCCTCTGTACTTGGGGCACACAAACTAACCACTAGGCCACCGGCGCCCCTGACTCTTATGTTTTGAAAACTTAACTACGCTTGTTATTTAAAGCAACTCCAAGGATCTGGATTCACTCTAAGACATGTGAAAAATAAGACACACAGTTTACTGACAGACTGAATAACTTCATATTAAAATACAAAGAGAGAATAAGACTTAAAGAATACTCACTGAGGATGAAGACGAAGAAGATCAAAGTGTGACAGACCTTCATGTTGGAGTCTCTGACTGTTTAACGCTGCGTCTCCTTCTTCACTCACAAACCAGCAGCTTCTCTCTTTTTATGAGCGATGCTCCCCCTCCAGACGTCACTCTGAACTTTCCTCCCCTCTACGCTGAGATTTTGTTTTGAACAATCCACTTTCTGCAAGCTGTAGATATTATTTATGTGTCATCATTCTGAAGCAACCAAGGTCCGCACATCAAGAGCTCCCATCCTCTAATCAACGTGTTTCATGAATTCAAGCAGCTTATGAACTTTAATGTTCAAACATTAAAACAATACAGAGATTGATCTGAAAAGTAAGAATTATATTATCTAACTCTAATAATTAGACGGGTTCAGTCCTGCAGATCCAAAATCACAGATTGTGTTTTAAAGTGTTTGTTTTTTTTTAAACTTAAAGACAAAATATTTTCTAGCTAACTGAATGAATGTCCCGGTTTATTTAAAGGTCACATATTCTCCTCCTCTTCAACCAGTGTAAATAAGTCTCAGAGCTCCTCAAAACGTGTGTGTGAAGTTTCTTGTTCTAAATCCACTCTGATCCTGTATTTGATCATGCCTATAAACCCCTCTATTTCAGCCCTGCTCAGAACAGGCTGTTTCTGTGTCTGTACCTTTAAATATGTAAATGAGTTAGAGGAACATGGTGAAATGGATTTTGCATCAAATGTGACCTTTAAGGTAGCCTCAATATGTTTTAGTTTGTGTAGTTTCTTCTATTTGTTTTAAATTTAAACAATAAAGAGGAGGCTTCTCTATAAACTAATAAAGAAAACTATCCAAATTCCATCTTTTTTATCACATTCAGGTTCAAGTTTTTGAAATAGACCCAAGATACTTGTTCCCTAATGAATGGAAACACACTCTTTAACAGACTTCGGCCCCAACAAACCAAACAGTTGCTCCAGTTGTAAAAAAAAAAGGATCCCCTTTTCCTCATTCTCTGTGTTCACACTGAAACGTTCAGTTTAAAGACCTCCTGAACATGAAGTCAGCAGTTAGGAGTTTAACGCCTTTATATACCCAATGTAAAGATACGATCACATGTTGACCTGGTTCTTGTTTTTTAAAAAAGCAGAAAATTGATCAGAAAGTTCACTTTATTTCATTTAAAACAATTGTTGTTCACATTTCCAGAATCTTCTCTCTGGCCTCCTCATGCAGCCCATCGGCCTGCAGAAGAACAGTGGTTTGATGTCAGCTGGTTTTACAAACATTAATACATTTAATTGTACTCAATGTTATGGTAAACACTCACACTGATGATATTAACATCCTCGAGTCCCACATGAGATTCTGAAAGACACACAGAAGAAGTTTAGGTCCATTCAATGTGTCCATTGGGTGACCAATGAGCAAACCACTTTTGAAAATGTGAGAGAGCCCCCACACGACGACTAATCATGACAGTTTTAACAGTTTAGGTGTGCGGTGTTCAACGAGATGTCCAGCTCCGCACACCACACACCTAAACCGAGCCTTGACTCTCAAAACGTGTAATCTTGCTCTGACCAATGCAAATTTAGAGTAAGCAAACATGACGGTCAAGCTACATTTGGCTAACTGTTAGCTACCTTGTTCATCCATTACGGTAAGAAAAACAATTAGGACAGCACTCCAAAATTGGAGAATCTGGCAAGATCATCTTGGGAACAATCAGATAATCGGGCCTTTGATGACTTTGGTCAGAGAGGGGAATCAGGCCCTAACGTTAGGTAACTTTAAGATGACCCCTTCTCTCTGCTGTGTGTGTGTGCTCTCGCTCACCTTGAGGTTTTCTGGTCCTCCTGCAGACTATCAGCACAGCTGCTGATAAAACGATGATCATGAGGATCAGAACCAGCTGCACATTCAGCTGAACTCCTGGGTTTGTCTCCTGGGGAAGACCTTTGTTAGAGCAGAGGAACAAGGTTTTTTTTTTTTTACTTTCTTATCCATTATAAAATATTTCCCATTCATCAAGTGATTTCAACCAACAATGAATGAACCCAGTACAAGCATTTAAAGACATGCATTTCTTTAGACAGGACATTGGATAGAGCTGGAAACTTGGGAGAGAGAGAGTAGAGAATGACATATGGACTCAACGACTACGAGGCCAACTGGTCCCCCAACGTGTCTCGCATGCCCAAATATATAATGACTCCTCTTTCCTTTTGAATAAGTGGTCATAAGATATCTCTAAAGTTGATTGAAAAGAGTAAATATACCTCGAGCTGCAGCTGGTGTTGCCAGTTTTTCCAATGTTGTTGTCAGTGTGGAGGCTGGTGGAGCTGATGTTGACAAAGGTTGGATAGTCTGGCTTGGTTCCGAAGTTGTTGGAGCTGTGACACACAAAGAAACTATTAGATACAGTTTGTTGGGATACAAAGTTGTCCAGTGAGAACATTTTATTGACATCACCCAAATTCTCTCAAAGCAGTCGGTGTGTTCTTACCAGTACAGTTACATATATGCTGAGGGCCATTGTTGTGTTTGGAGCAGTGACTGTGTATTGATATGGACAGCACATGTCTGTCTCCTACTGTTGTACAAAAGTGAAGCCAAATACTCCACTCCATGACGTAATTTGGAGCCAACACATTCACAGTGGGGAGCTGCTGGTGGACCCACGGAGTTGACTCTATGTCTCTTTGGATAACCGCAGCTCACATTAAACTTTACTGATTAAACGTTAAAGATCCCTGAGGTGAGGACGGGCCACAGCAGAACAGATTCTTGTTCCAGTTTGGAGAAGACACTCAGGGTTATGTAAAGTTCAATGACTTAAAAGTTAGTTTCAGTCACGTTTCCTCTCACCTTTTGTTCTATACCCTAACAATCTGGTTAAGAACGCCGCAAGGACCTTTACTGTGATTGTCAACAGTAGGTATGTTACATCCCTTTTCTTTGGTATCAATTTACTGATCAAAATAAAACTGTGATTTGACAGGCAAGCAAAAGCAGAATTTGGAACAAAGTAAGAACCTGATCCGCATGATCAGAACAAACTATCACATCAGATTCTGGGTTTGAGAATAATGTTATTTGATGTATATTTTAATCTATAGTTTGATCATAGACTGCAAATATTAATGGATGAAGCCTGAGTGACATCATCCATCTGTTCCTGCAGGGGGCTCTGGAGGCTCATCGGCAGCAGCCGCCATGTTGGAAATCCTGTCTCAGTCTAACTTTCAGTCAACTTAATGACAGGCTGAGAGCTGGAGGTGAGCGGGTTTTAAGCCTCCTGACAAACAGCTACACTGTGCCCACCTGCCAATCAGGTCAGCTGATTAGTTAGGCGCTATGTATATCGTTCACAAAATCAAAACGGCTGCATTATTAAAAATAATCACCCCCCATACAGTGTGTGCCCATGAGGACAAAAACTAATCAGAATTATATCGTTTTTTGTTCCAGGCTGTAAACATGTTAATTTATGCTGTAAAAACAGGCTTTTTTTTAATATGTGGTGTGTATTGGCTTCCGCATTGGCTTCATTTTCAACACAGAGGTTGCCCCTTGAGTTCGACCCATGTCCCATCTGTTAACAGTTAGTCAGCAGGAGGAGCTCTAAATATTCTGGCTTCACTCCCTGGCGGCTGTTTCTCTGTCCATCTTCATATACAGTCTTTGGGATGGAGCATCGATATTCAACAACCGTAGTGTCACCTTTAGTGTTTGAGTTGGTTTTATATTTTACAGATGAACCTTTGGTTATAACGGAGCATTAATCAGATCGTTTAACATTTAAAACATCAGCAGCTGTCTGTGAAGAGTAAAAACTCACCGCCTTCAACTCTGAGCTCCATCACCTGGGTATCACTTGGAGACTGAAGATTTCCAAACACACAGCTGTATCTTCCAGAGTCAGCCTTTGTCAGATGTTTGATGCTCACATACAAAGGCATTATAGACATTCCCACATGTTCTTCATTATATCCAATGCTGTATCTGCCACGCTGAGCTCTGACACCGCTTGTTTCAACGAGAATGTCTTCCTCCCTGCAGTCGTCCCTGCAGAAGATCTTCCTTTCATCGGGGTTATCGAAGTAGCATTTTATTTTGAAGTTTCCTCCTTCGGTTGCTGTATGATTCAAGATATCTCTCTCTGTTAGACAGGCGTCTCCATTCTCCAGTGTTGCTGAAATGATAAACAATCAGAGTTACTATCCAAGACTGCCAATATGGGGGGACAAAGGGGGAGGCGGGGGGATTGGGGTAAGGTTAAACATTGTCATCCTAAATTTAACCACTCATAACATATGTTTTAAATTACTCACTAAGACAATAAAGAAACACATATTATTCTATATTGCCAGTTTCAAAATGTGAATCCCCTTTTTTTAGTGACATTAAAGTTGGTGGTGAGCCCATTGGACTTAACTGTACGGCCAGTAATGACGTCTTGGTATAGCTATGCCTACTCACAGTCAGGATGCTAGAAAAAAAAGGAGGCATCTGCCCCAAAAAATAACTTGTAGCGGTTATGATGGGGGCTGTAGCAGATCCCAGCTGTCATTGGGCGAGAGGTGGGGTAAACCATGGACCACACTCACTCATTTACACTAAGGCTTTTAGAGTCAACAATTGAACTAACAAGCATTTCTTTGGACTGTGGGAGGAACCCGGAGAAAACCAACGCATGCACAGGGAGAACTTGAGGTGGACACAGAGAGGCGGATGGGGGGATTTGAACCAGGAACCCCCTCGTTTGAGGCAAAAGCGCTAAACAACTGCACGGTTTTCCCCAATCGCTTTTCTGTAAACTCCAGAAGCTGATGGGAGCCATACAGAGGAGGTGAATGTTAGCTAGTAGGCTAACGCAACTGATCCAACATGCCTGTAATGGAATTATTTCATGACTGATCTGTGGAGGATCTGTCACTTAACCTGCGCAGTCATTTCTGTGGGCGGCCCTGTTACTATCTCCATGTAAAATGAATCAGTCTGATCAAATTGAACTTCTCAAGAGAGTCACTTATCTGTCCAAGTTGCACCACAACATCAACGGTTTGTTTACATTTTTAAAATAGAAATGTAATCCGAGCTGGGCTGCTGCTCGAAGAGAAAAGTAGGACTTTGAAAAAGAAAATCAGGGGGATCAACTCTTCAAAACAATCGATGCACATTTCTGTTTTTGTATCCTAATCTGAACTGGGACAATTTCACAACAATACGGGAAGAAAACGGAAGTGAAACAGGATCTCGAAACAAACACTAAAGGGAACATTGTTCATCGATGTTATATGCGAGAGGGCCTCGATGAAACTGAAGCATTTTGACAACCTTATATGAAGACATGTTACTCCAACCTCCACCATTAATGTCTTTTTATACTTTTTTTTTTTTTTTTTACAATATTGTAAGCTGAAGTTAAAAATATTTGAGACCAGATTGTGGGACCAAACCAAATATGTTGTGTACATATTATGATGCGATAACTAGAAGTAACTCTCAGGCTCTAAGTCCGCTGCTCAGAATGATGAAAAACGATGACACAAAGTTAACCAGCAACCCACAATAATTAAAATAAATGTAGTTAAAAAATAACGAAAGAGAGAAATTGTTGAAGAGAGTACTCACTGGAGATGAAAACAAAGAAGATCAACGTGTGACGGACCTTCATGTTGGAGCCTCTGACAGTTTAAACACTTCCTCTTCCTTCTTTACTTGCTCTCTGTTTATAAAGTGATGAACTTCCTCCTACAAACATCAAAGCTCTGAACTCTCCTCCCCTATACATTCAGTTTTTGGAAACACTTAAGGTCACAATATTCACCATTAACTATTTGCTTATTAGCATGCTAACTAGTAGCGTACTGGCTGCTTATCAGTCTTTATTAAGCGCTCATCACTGTGACTAGATGACCAAGGACAGCTTAGTGTGTCCACTGTCTTCCCTTTTATCTGAAAGGAAGTTTGGTAGACTTATTGTCTGCTCCAAATTGTGCTGACATCATAGATTAGTTTAGGTGGCTCAATATGACCCTAATAATAATAATATCTTTTGGGATATAGGCAAAGCCGTTGGTAGAGTCTGGCAGATTTGGTTCAGCAAGACACAAGTTCACATGGATGCGCTTGATCCATGTCTCCTCATGAGTATTCATCTTATATATTTCACTTAATCCATCTGAGTCAACTGAATCATCATTTGTGTGAAGTCAAGTCTTAGTAATTTCATCCACACTCTCCTACTCTGAATTCTGTTGATTATATATATACTGTAACTGCTGCGTTCTCACATCAGCTCACTCGGACTTGCTGCAGAAAAAGTACTCGGGGGCTGGTAGGAGAAACTCCGGTTTAAGTCAGAGTGAAATATTGGACTGTTAGCGTTCACACCATCACACATGCAGATCCTATCATTAGTTTTTCAGGAGTTTTCCACAAGTGTGAAATCCCTACAAGAGTTTGTCTATTTAAGTTTATTGATAGTAAGTTAGGAAGTTGTTGAACATGAATCATGATCTTATAGAGTAGGAAATTGGGAGAGAGAGTGGGGAGTGACATGCAGGACAGGGGGCATTTGGCTCTACAGGTGCTCGCTTGGAGGATTATAGCAGCCGCACATGGGGCACCACCTAACTGCCAGGCCATCTGTGCCCCCTTTGTCTTATTTTTTAAAAGGGTGAAAAGTCAGGACTGCAGGCGGGCCACTTTATCTCTCTCACTACAGAGCCATGCTGTTATAGGCGCATACAAGCCGGATGGTTCCTCTCCTCTTTTGTCTGGAGGATGAGACGTGCAGGATTTTGACTCGTCAGACCTCAGGACGGTTTTCGCTTTCTCCATATGAGTGTTCTCTGGCGATAGGAATTCAAACAGTAATACATAGTGATCTGACAAAGACGATTATATACAAACACTATGAAATGTTTATTTTAATTCTTTGAGTTTCAGATACATTAACTGCAATATGTAGATTTATATACAGATGCAATAAGCACAAAGCATTTTTAAAAAGTCTGATATTGAGTATTTAACTTTTGATAAAATGTGTTTAATGTTGTACAATTTTTAACCCCACTAGAAAGCAATTTTAAAAGTACTTTGAATAAACCCTGATGATTCATGTAAGCTAGAAAAGAGTTCACAGTTTTCAAAAGCAACACATTTAAACACAATATAACAGAACCAAAGAGTGATGTAAAAGTATAAATGTAACCTAAAAAATAACATCATGTTCATAACAAAATATTTGAAACCCAGAATGTTTTCAACAAAACATCAGAAGTTTGTGGCTTTAAGTTCACATGTTATTTAAACACTTCACTTCACTTTTAAACACTTACACTTCACCATGTTTCTCTAACACTAACATGTGTCTCTAATCTGTCTACCAATGATGAGAAAAGTCCATCCTATCCGTCTACTGCCTGCTCCACTTTTCAGAAAATGTGGGCTCAAATATACCGTTTAAAGATTTTTCCTTCATGACATCACAAAGGGCAGTAGCCCCTCCCCCAGGTGGGTGACACTCCCACAGCTAGGTGTTTGTTCTGTCCTCTTGAGTCTGCCTTCTCACCGTAAATAATAGGAGCGAGAAAGACAGAGTACACCCAAGCCCTTCCAGAGAGGGGCGTGGTCAGACACAGCTCATTTACATATTTAAAGGTACAGACACAGAAACAGCCTGTTCTGAGCAGGGCTGCAATAGAGGGGTTTATAGACATGATCAAATACAGGATCAGAGTGGATTTAGAACAAGACACTTCACAGACATGTTTTGGGGAGCTCTGAGACTTATTTACACTGGTTGAAGAGGAGGAGAATATGTGACCTCTAACGCCTAGATGTAATCTAAATATAGCTTTCACAGAACAGCCTGGTATATTGTTCTTACAAAGGCAGTGCATTAATCAGAAATCTGACCTATAAGTTCATCTAAAATGTTTTCTTCATATTTCCAGAATCTTCTCTCTGACCCCTTCATGCACCAAATTGGCCTGCAGAAGAAGAACATTGGTTTGATGTCAGCTGGTTTTTATAAACATTAATGAAGTTTAATATCAAAAATGTTCTCAACACTCACATTGGTGATGTTAACATAATCCAGTTCCTCATCAGGTTCTAAAAAACAGAAAGCTTAGAAGGTTAGCTTCATTCGATGGTATCATTTTGACTACATAGGCTAGATAAGGATTTGGTGCACCAATCAGCCGACTCCCAACCCCCCAAAAAAGTGCTGCCTTATCTCTATGGAGACAAGCAACAACACTGCTCTAAATAACAGATGACGAGCTTCATTACCCCCTGAGGTAGGTCTCAATCCAAACAAGTCCTCTATCGTGGGAAAAAGCAGTTGTTGTTCTGTCAAAAGAGCGGCATGAAAAGCGTACTATTCTATTAAGTTAATGTAGTTTAAAATTTCTTTCAAATATAAACTTTCACACTGCACTTTGTCAAGCACACCAAAGTCTGTCTCACCTACGGAATGCACCGAACTCTGGTGCATTTGGAAGCGAACTAAGATCTGTGTTTTCAAGTGGTCCAGAGTTCGGTTCAGGAGACTCTGTAGGAGAGAAGTCCTCAACCTCAAGCCACATTTCTGTCCTAAAAGTGTCATTGCTGCTTCTCAAGTGCTCACTTACGGGTAAATAACCTAGCTAAGCTAAACCTAGGTGTGTGCGTTTGTATTGCATAGAAAGTATGATGTTGCCGCTGATGGTAACAACATGAAGGAGTGATTGGGTATGTCTGGTATGACTTATCCGCACTGTCCATGTTGATACGTTATGTTATAATGACTCTTTAGGCAGTTTTTGAAATTCCAGGCCAGGGTAGATGCACTTCAGCTGAAACTCTGGGGTTTAGTTACCCTGTAAACACCTGCTCAAATGATCCCTTTCCTCTGTTGTATGTGTGTGCTTTCTCACCTCCGGGTCTCCTTGCGCTCCTCCTGCAGACTATCAGCCCAACTGCTGATGAAATGATGATCATGATGACCAGAACCAGCCGCACATACAGCTGAACTCTTGTGTTTGCCTCCTGGTTCAGACCTTTGTTTGGGCAATGGAATAGTAGAAGAGTTTTCTTCACTTTCTTGCCCGTTATAAAATACTTCTTGTTCTTCGAGTCATGAATGAACCAAAGTTCAAACACAGAGACACTAACAGGCAAGAGCTAATTTCTTAAGAGTTTAGTTCCTAAAATATCTTGAAAGTTGATGATGAGTCAGAGGAAACAGGTACATGTACCTTGAGCTGCAGCTGGGGTTGTCAATGTCAGTGTTGTCTTCAATGTGGAGGCTGGTGGAGTTGGTGAAAAAGCTGGGGAGGTCCATTTTGGTTGGGCAGTGGTTGGAGCTGTAAAAAGGTAAAAAACACTGAATGGTGAGTGTGTTCTTACTGGTCCAGTTATGGGCTGAAGACTATCAGTGTGTTTGAGGCTACCAATAATATTCAAAAGAGCTGTGAACTTGAGAGTGGAAGTTTGAGATGATTTTATATCTGGTCATAACGGTGCATTAATCAGACTTTGAAATATTTAAACTTTCAGCAGCTGTCAGTAAAGGGTAAAAACTCACCGTCTTCAACTCTGAGATCAAACTTCTGGATATGATGTGGATAACGACCAATGCCAAACACACAACTGTATCTTCCAGAGTCGGACTTCAACAGCTTTGTGATGCTCACATACAAAGTTATCATAGAGGCTCCCAATTGTTCTTCATAATATTCCATGCTGTATCTGCCACGCTGAGCTCTGACACCACTTGTTGCCACAAGAATGTCTTCAAATCCACAGTCATTCCTGCAGAAGGTCTTCCGTTCACCAGGGTCATCGAAAAAGCATTGAGCGGTGAAGTTTCCTCCTTCAGTTGCTGTATGGACATAGATTTCTGTACTTCCAACCATACAAGTGTTTCCATCCTGTGTTTTCGCTGAAAATATAAACAATGAGCATTACTATCGTCCTCTAATATGCAGCACTCAGATAATATGGACAAAAAATATAGATCCTGGAGGACTCCTCTTTCACCTTGCATGTCATTTATGAGCACATGAGTTAGCTGGGGTCATTTGCTCCAACAGAGCTCACTCCTGGTCTGAAACTAAGTCGGTCTTAACTTGGCGTTCTGAGTTCGACCTGACAGTGAAGCTGGTTGCACCACCAGGGCTTAAGCCTTCGTCGCACTAAGAATGGTGGTAAATCTTACAACTGGTCAGGAGGAGGCGTAAAGTTAGAATCTAGGCCGTCAATATAGCAAACTTATCCCTGGACTGCTTGGCACTAAGCGCTGTCCTGTGCTGGCTATAAAATGATCTTCCATTTCTGTGCAAAGATACTATATACTATATTGGCCAAATGTTATCTTTAAGTAGTACAATGACAGAATGTGACAGTTTTGTTCATGGTTTAATTCACTTTCTGTAAATAGTATTCTCAGATGGAGGTCTGTGGTTTGATTTGTCAGTTTAGGGGCTCAGACATGCTACACGCTTCTTGGTGGTACACTACATTCACACATCATACCCACACCGCTGTGGCACTGAGCTCCAAACAAACCATTTTGAAATAGAACCAGACAGATAGACAGAGCCAAATATGCAGGCTCATCAGGACAGGATACGATAAAAAAGACAAGGGTTTATTTTGTAGTCGAGGTTGGTACAGGTCATCAAAAAACACTGAAGCAAACAAATCCATGAGGGGCAGTCGAAAGGGCAGGTGAGGGTCAAACACAAGAGTGCTGGAAACGAGGCGACACGAGGGAACAAACGACAAACTGGCAACATGAGGGAGGACACACTTGGTTTAAATACAAAGACAGTCAGGGGATAACAAGAGACAGGTGAGCACAAGGCAGGGAACCACAAAGAGCAGGATCTGGAATACAGAGACATGGGTATAATAAAACAGGAAATTACAAATACTGAAATAAAACATGACCTTATTCAGCTTGTCATTTTGCCCCTTATGTGGCACTGAGATAAGGTAGAAAGTCAAGCTTGGATGCGCCCTTTTGACAACTTTTAACCAAGTGTTAGAAAGGAGAAAAAAACAGATGCAAAAGCGGACCTGTAGAAGGAGAAGCTGGGTACATTGTTCATCCACGATAGACTCTAACAGGCCTCGACAAATCTTCAGCGATTCGACGGCATCGTTAGAAAAAATGCAACTCCACCTTCATTATTTTTGTAATGTGCATCAGAGAGCAGAACATGAACAGATGTTTCATTCAGGCAAAATGTAAACCCAAAAAATTAAATTCATATTGTGATCTAAATGTACAGAACAGCTGATTGTCTATTAAACTGAAGATGCTCAGTTTATATTCTGAGAGGATAATTACTAGTATTTATAACCTTAGCTCACAGGCTCTTTCATAACAAATATATTCATATAAATGTTCAGAAAGATAAATGAGACGTATAGCTGACAGTACTCACTGAGGATGAAGATGATCAAAGTGTAACAGACCTTCATGTTTGAGTCTTAGACAGTTGAACGCTGCTTCTCTTCCTTCTTCACTTACTTATTTAATCGACAAGTTGCTTCAACTGCAGCGGAATAGAGAAGTGGAATAGAGAAGTTGTCACAGAGGCCCATTTCTTTGTATAAGTTTTAGTATGTTTGGTGCTAACAAGGCTGCAGGGAAGTGAAAAATGCAAAGGGAGCTTTAGCAGCTCCAGGAATAAGAATATGACGCACAGCTTCAGAGTTTAAGAGGCCGTACACTGATTGAAATGTGAAAGTTATCTCAGTGTGTAAAGCCTGGCAAATAAGTAAATCTGAGAAATATCATTGTGTTTGGAGAATTCTTCACCGTGGCAACAGTTTCTTGCAGTGCTGCGTTGTCTGATCCAAAAGGAGTCTAAGCTCCCGGCTCACCTAGGGTCTTGGTGGATTACTGTTACCAAAGCTGCTAAGCTAAACAAAGCTAGATCAACATAAGAGCAAATCTTATCTAAGTTTCCCGACTGATCACTGCAGTCTATCCTGGAAGCTAGGACAGGGGATTCACACCTCAAGTCCTCAAAGGAAGGGAGGAACTCACCTCTCAGACAGCTGGCTATGCAACAATAATGAGGTTCAACTGGAAAAAAATTTAAATTGTTGTCTCAAACAACAAAGAGCACACAAAAAAAATAAAACTACTCAACTCACCAAAACACAACAGCACAACTAAGGGAAAAATAACAAAAATATCACTAAAATCAGTCTCAAATTAGTTACTTAATTACTAATTCAATTCAATTCAATTCAATTCAATTCAATTTCAATTCAATTTATTTTGTATAGCGTCAACTCATAACAAGTGTTATCTCAAGACACTTTACAAAAAGCAGGTAAACTACCTTACTCTATGTCTGTTAACATTACAAAAAAGCAGGTAAAAAGACCTTCCTCATTGTTATGTTACAAAGACCCGGCCTATCCATCATGAGCACTTTAGCAAAGCAGCAAAAGTTACAGTGGTAAGAAAAAAACTGTCTTATTAAAAGGCAGAAATCTTCGGCCGGATCCCCGCCTCATGACGAAACAGCCTTCACAGGCCTGGACTGCGCCTAATATTATTAATAAGGATCAGAGTTCTTCCCTCTCTTCCAGAGTTTAGGACAAAGACAAAAGAAGCCGTGTGGCTTAGCTTGAGCTCTCTGAGCTGAGTTCAGTAACTATAACTTAAACACTAGAAAGCCAGTGGCCGGACTTTGATTCAACGGCAGGTACACTGGTCTTTCTGATTGTGAAAGCATTTAACTGAAAGTAAACTAGCATAGCATTGAATGAAAACACATAGAGGCGAACACGGCGGTTCAGCAACAAAAACAAATGCAGCAGCTTACAGGAGATAATAAACAGAATGTGAAGTTCAGTCAACAATAAAGCACAATTATCAATTGGTATAAAATAAACCTTCCTAAACTATTCTGTGCCCAGACTAAAGCCTTACTTGGAAACATTTTTCTGATGACTGTTTAGAAGAAGATTTACTTTATTGATCCCCCTTTGGCAAGGGGAAATTTCAGTCTTTTACACTCTGTAGTCATGCAACACACACATAGGCTGAAGTATATACACACATGCACACAAACAGGATCCTATGGACATGCACTAAGGGAGGGATGTCAGAGTGATGGAGCTGCCCACAGCGGGCGCTCCTGAGCTGATGGTGGGGAGGGGGTTTGGTGCACCTTGGCAGTGCTCAGGAGGTGATCTGGTACCTCTCCAGCTACCAGACCAACATCATGCTTGGTCTGCACTGGGACTTGAACTGGCGAGTCCTCTGGTTCCCAACCCAAGTCCCTACAGACTGAGCTACTGCCGCCCCAAGGTTAGGTTGGCAGATGAAGAGACGGCAGCAGGAGTCAGATTTGAGACAAAAGCAATGCTCTGTTTTCTTTCTGGTGGCAGGAGCAGATTTTCCTTGGTGTATTCTTCTTCAGGTCACGGTGGCTGTCTGTAGCACTCCTGTCCTGTTGCATTCACCGACGTTGACGAGAATAATAGGAAAGAATTTCTCTGTGCTCGAACCAGATAGTTACCGATTGCGCCAAAAACTCCTAAAACAGGCCTTGGAAGTCGGCCAGGTTGGAATGCGTGTCTCCCCTGAAGCTGGAAGCTTGTGGAGAGAGGTATCCTCTGGTGTAGGGAGACCACACATGAAGAGATCAAACAATGAGAGGCGGCTGCTTTTATCGACCCTGCACTTAACACCTAAGCGTTAGATGTTACAGAGCATGCTGGGAGTGTTTCTGCAGGGCAGGGCATGCTGGGAGTAAGAGTCATTTAAGTATTCGAACTCAGGCTTCTGTGGCTTCAGGCCGGACCTTTGTTTCAACACATGGAGATCCCAACACTACTGAAAATAAAGTAAAATCTGGACTTCTCAGAAGTACTTTTCAACTTCATTTGTTTTCTTTAGAAATCTTTTGTAAATTCAAACCCTAATAAAAAACTGGTCTAATACAATTGGATTCCTTTAAAACGATATTAAATGTTTATTTTATACATTATTGAACTGCCATGACAAAACATGAACAGCTCTGCAGATTTAAAAGCAGTTTATAGAGAAACCTTATCTTCATTATATTCATTAAGAACAATCGATTCCTCCTGTTTGATGCAACAACTCTACAACAAACCTTTACATTCATTTAAAAGGTTTACAATGAATGTGTCCCTAAAACAGAAATCATTTACAGTTTTCAAAAAAACTGACATTTTAAACACATTGTAACTAAAAAAGATACAAAAATCCTGGGGAGGTTTCACATCTATGTCCCTGAAAATAAGATTGAGATGCTGCAGTTAAATAAAAAGTGAATGCTCACACAGGAAACATCGCCTTTTCCTTCCTCTCTGTGTTCACACTGAAACATTCAGATTAAACACTTCCTGAACAACACGTCCAAAGTTTGTGATTAAAAGCTTAATAAAGACGTTGTCAATGTATGATTACAGAAACTGAACTTGGTTCCTGTTTCTCAGAAAAAACTGAACATTAGTAAGTTTTTTTATGACGATTCTTTAAAGGAGCAATATATAACTATGACACCTAGTGGTTAGAATGGGTACTGCAGTCCATGTTAGTTCACAGAAATAATAAAAACCCATCTCAGGGTCCTGGAGTCTTATCATTCAGAGAGAGAAATCATTTAATTTTGCCTGCAGACTTTTTTATTTATTTACCAGTAACATTAAAACTGATAACTATCTGCACAAATAGAGGTGATGGAAAATGCACTAAGTTTGAATAAACAGTAAAACTGGTCGTCCCTCCATCATTAACATTAAACCAAACGTGAACATTTAACCCTCCATTTCAGAAACGTGTTTGTCACCTGCTGAACACTTTACTGCACATTACTGTAATTTGTTTGAGCAAAGTTCTCAATGAAAATCCTTGATGACAAAGTCTCTGTTAACCCAAAACTAGCCCCTCAATAACTGAACTGTAACGTATAACTTGTGTCTTCAGAAATATAAACATTTAACAAAATCATTTATGCAATATATCTTGTAAAAACTAAGAAAAACTCAACTTAAATAACCAATATGTAACTCTGACACCTGGTGTTCAACATGGGTACTGCAGTCCATCTTACATATTGGACCTTTACTGTTTCCATAGCAATAGTAGCTAAATAAATAAATATAAATATATAAATTATATATATATAAATAATAAATGCTGCGCTGATAGCATTGAAGCTAAAGCTAATTTAAAGTAATGGTAGAGTACAGAGGAGCCAAAGTGTTCTCTGAGCTAGCTTCTGCCCGGGGCACGGAGTAGATGACATCATCTTTTGCTCCACCAGAGGGGGCGCTGTTACGAGAGGCAGCTTGGCTGTTGGAGAAATCCACCTCAGAGTAGATGAGTTTACTCGAGTCATCGACGATCTGGAAGGAAAATAAAGGTGAAAATTTATCAGCCAGATGTTTTTTTACTTTATAAAATTTCCTTTGAGAGAGACAGGACAGTCGATAGAATCAGAAATCAGAGAGAGAGAGAGAGAGAGAGAGAGAGGGGGGGGGGGATGACATGTATGAACCCGGGCCTCCCGCTTTGAGGACTGTAGCCTCTGTACATGGGGCGTACAAACTAACCACTAAGTCACTGGCGCCTTGATAAGTCGCAGTTGAAAGAACTGAATGTTTCTGATTAAATTATTAATATTATTCAGCGCTCTGAAAGAGGAAAGTTTTCTGACTTAAATTATGATTTAGTGACTAAAATCTGGTGCATTTTTTACCGTGTGCTTTTGATTTTGTTCATGACATCAACAAGATCTTTTTAAATTTTGTATCCTAAAGTTTTGTTTGTTTATTGACAGCACAATACACGACCAGGGTCCAACATGGGCCTCTGTTAGAATTGACATGCTTGTGGGGCCTCTAGTGGCCATTTGTGGAACTGCACTTTGTGACACTTCTGTGTTCATTTTATTGTTTAGCACTCATTGGAAATAGACTTATCTTTGACAAATACTCTCTTAATATATAGATCCATTTCAATCAAGTTTCATGTTAGATCAGAGATGTGCAACCACATCTTTATGACCTATAAGACTTCCTCCACAAAACAACGGAAGTTAGAGATATGAACATTAACTGGCCTGGTTCCTGTTTCTTTAATTGGCAGCAGATCACTTCCTGGATATTATTTATTTTTTCAAAAAAGCACATGAAGGTGGTGCAGGTTTGACTAACATCTCCTTGTTGATCTGCCACAGAAATAACATTTCCTCTGCTGTGCCTTCAAGTTGTTAATCTGTGAATTTATTTTAGTACATTTAATCTAAAATCTTTCCACTGTTTTTTCTTACTTTGTCGTGAGAAGCTGCTGCAGTTAGGAGGCTGTAGTCATCCGTGGTTTCAACCCCGTTCAGTTTGGCAAATTTAGCACAGGTGTAAACTGTTGAAACTTCCACAACAGGAGATCTGTGCCCCTCTCTGATCTCCTCATGCACTCGGTTGTTCTGCACAAGGAGAATACAAAGACACTGTTTCAGTATGTTTTTCTCAAACAGTAATAAAAGTTAAAGTCCCTGATT